TGAATTCAAAAACAAAACAAAAAACAAAAAACTGAAATTATCATTGAATTATCCTAAAATTCCATTTTAGGATTTGAATTTTTGTTTTCTGTGCTTTGCAAAATGTCAAAATGTCACAAATATTCAATTATTTTTTTCTTTCAAAAAGTAATGATTTTTCTTGCTTGATTTTCAATTTTTTTTTTTAATTTTTTTTCCGGGAAAAATTCCTGACAAATAATTTGAATTTTTTTTGATTTTGGTTCAGCAAACAAAGTTAGGTGAATAAATTTACATTTTTGCTTTGTTTTGCTTTGTTTTTGTGTTTTCGGTTTCCTGAAATCATTAAATTTCCATTCGAAAATGAAGAATATTTTTCATTTTGAAATTCATTTTCCATCATTGATTTTTATTGTCAAACAGTTTTTTGTTTTCATTGTCAAATCGAAATTTTGATTAGTTTTTTTTGAAGAAAACAGCAAAGAGGATTTTCTTTTTTCTTCTGTTGCCCACCATTTTGGATTATCATTTTTTGGATAGGATTATGATTTTGAAACGAAAATCAAAAAAAATCGCAAAAATGAAATGAAATGTCCATGGATTAATCATGGTGGGGACAGATTTATTTATTTCATCCACATGGCCTTGTGGCATTTTTTTGCTTTTTGCGCTATCCAAAATCAAATTTAAATGATATTTGATGATGGATGGATGAATGAAAACAAAAAACAAAAGCAAAAGTTACATAAAACAAAAACTTGACATTACTTTTTTTATTGTCATTTGTTTTTCGTTTGTTTCAATCGATTTTGGACAAAATCTTATTCATTTATCGTTGATGGTGGTGGTGTGGTGGGGAATTGAACAAGTTTCTTTCAAGTTTTCAATGTGTTTAAATTGCACTTTGCACAATTTTTGTCTTTTTCTTTTCTTATTCTTTTTTTGCTGTGATTAATCATCATCATCATCATTATTAACACTGAATACGCCTGATGTGAAACATTTTTGTTTCCCATTTTTTTTTCACAACCACCACAGCATCCATTAAAACACATTTTATTTTCTATGCAAAAAAAAACTTTGTTCCAAGAATAAGACGATTCTCTGTCCTCCCCCAAGAACAAAAAAAAACATTTTTGAAAATAATTTCCCGGCTTATAAACGAAGCAGGCAGACAAAAAGAAAAATTTACGAAAAGATTTCTATTGTAATATTTTTCATAGAAGATTTTTCATTCATTTCATATGACGATGATCATCATCATTGTCTTGCCTGTGTATGGTAGCAATCTTTAATCTTTTCTTTTCTTTCTTCTTATTATTCGTCTTATTGTGAATGACCAAACCGTATTTTTTTTTCGTTTTGGCAAATTTCACATTTACCTGTGAATTTCATTCTTTCCAAAAAAATACTTTCTTCTTCTTTTAGTAAATATACCTTTTTTTTCGGTCCATCATATAATTTATGGTTTTGATTAGCATCACACTACTATTTTCTGATTACCATCATTATTGGTGACTGTCACCAGACATTATTATTATCATCATCCTGATGTCAGATATTGACTGACTGACATCAGGATGTTGTTGTTGTTGTCTGCGATTAACCACAACAATGATAATCAGTTTGGATCAGAAATTTTCGTTTTTGTTTTTTTGCTGAAATATTTCATCCGGTTTATCCATCATCCATCATAAAAATTGATAACATTGTTTTTGTTAAGGATGTTTTTGGCGCAGTTATTTTTTTTTATTAATTTGTGACACACATCAAAGGGAAATGAACAAAAATGATGATGATGATAATGATAACGGAAAGATCAAAAAAGTAATAATGTGTGTGTGTGTGGGTGTAAATAGGTGATTGTAAATAAGAAAATTTATGATTATAAATTATTTAAAATGGATAATTTACAAAAACGTTTTACGTTTATAATAATGTATGTTTTATAAATATTCTTGATGGAAAACAAAATAGAATCAAAGAATTTAGTTTTAGTTTTTTTTTGAAGAAAACAAATTCGTTTGATATAAGTTTCATATAACGCTAATCACACATAATTGCGTTCGGTATGTTTGGAGGAGAAAAAAAAACTGTCACGCAATCATCATCGTTATCAAACAAGATCAAACAAGCAAAAAAGATGAAACATTTTGAAACAAAGATATCATGTTTTTTTGTTTTGATTGTTTTTCTATAACCATTCATCAAAACAGACAAAAATATGACGTTGCAAAAATGAAATGATTCTTTGGATTCTTATCATGTGTATCCATGATAAATTGGTAAATCATCATCAATAAATAAATAGATAAATCCTGGAAATAACGAAGAGAATATTTTTTGATACATTTTTGCAAAAATATTAATTATTCATTTTGGATATTCATTCATTCATTATTCTGTATGTTTTTTGCTTTCTTTTTGATTTGTATATGATTTCTCTGTGTGTATGTATGTCTATCTTATGATAAGCCATTCAATCATTCACTGACTCGCAATGATTATCATTCATTCAGTTTTTTTTTGTTTTGATAGACAAGAACAACAAACTGGTTCAATTGAAAATGACATGATAATCATCATCAGGTATTAAGTAGATAGAATTCAGAAAAAAAACACCGAAATCATCATCATCATAAAATCTGGCTTGTCCAGTTGTCCAGTTCTTTTCAAAAAAAATGATTTGATGAACAAAGTGAATGGCAAATAACTTTAAAAAAAAACATTTCATTTTCCTGGGTGCATTTTATCTTTTCGATAAAATTTTTTTTCCTGTTTGTTTGCCAAAATGTGGTGATGATGGTAGTGTGTGTGTGTGTGTGTACAAGTTTCTTCGTTTCATACCCATAGAATAAATAAATAATAAAAGTTTACAACCGGACAAGCTTTTCTTTCAAGTACATCCAATATTACCTTTATATAGACACTAAGAGAGAGAGAGAGAGAGAGAGAGAGANTTTTCGATAAAATTTTTTTTCCTGTTTGTTTGCCAAAATGTGGTGATGATGGTAGTGTGTTGTGTGTACAAGTTTCTTCGTTTCATTTCCATAGTAGAATAAATAAATAATAATAATAAAAGTTTACAACCGGACAAGCTTTTCTTTCAAGTACATCCAATATTACCTTTATATAGACACTAAGAGAGAGAGAGAGAGAGAGAGAGAGAGAGAATGATTGAGAAAGAACATCGTTGTTTTTTTTGCATCCAATTATAGCTCATCACTGAATCATCATCATCCAGTGATCAACAACATCCATCACGCAATCATCATCATCATCATCATCGGGGCAATTTTACAAACTTGAACCAAGTTGAAAAAAAGAAAAACAGTTTTTTTTGTCGCCTATATATCTATTCCTTGTGTGTATATTTGTTATATAAACATTACATATCAAGCTTGTTGTCTAGTCTAGTCCAGTTCTTTTGATTTGGACGGTTGTTTGTTTGTTAAAAAGAAAAAGAAAAACTTTTGTCGGATTCTCACTATGTGATCGAATTTAGTTTTCTTTTTTGAAATTTTTTTTTCATTTCTTTTCTTCACTTCACAACCAACTAAACATTCAATCCGGCCGTTCAACTATATTGGTGTCTTTTTTTTGGCTAAAAAAGATTTTTTTTTTGACGGCAGCCGCGATGATATGATCAGTCAGTCCAGTTTAGTGTTGATCATCATCATTATCATCATCGGGATGTTTGTGTGTGTGTGTGTTGACCATCAACAAACATGTTCAACCGTACGAACGAACGAACGAAAAAAATGAAATGAAAAAAAATACATCCGTAGTGCCACCATTTAGCAAATATGTTTTATTCAGTTTTGTTTAGTTAGTTTTTGGTTTTGCTGGGTTTGGTTGGTTTTCATCATCATTCGTGTAAGTTCTCTGCATTTAGTTAACACTGTGTGCGTCATTTATGATGAATAATCAATCTAATTTGATTGATTGATTAATTAATTAATTAAATTTTTTTGTTTGGCATTCCATTACTGAAATGAAATTCTTTATATGTGCGCAAAAACCATTCTGTAATCGTCATATATGTCATTAATGAGATTCTATGTTTTTTTTGTGAATCATTGAACTGAATATGAACAACAGAAAAAAATTCGTTTGGATATTGCTGCATTTATTTGCCTGTTTGTGTGTGTAAATATTGTTGTTTCCCCCCAATGTAAAATGCCCAAGATAAGGCGGCGGCTTCAAATTTTTGTTGTTTTTTAAATCATTGATTTTCATTGAAATGATTATATCATAACCTCGAAGCAAAATATAAAAAAAAGGAGTGTTTCATTTTAACATTTCTCCCACTCGTGTGTATGATAAGTGATTATCATCCATTCATTCATTCATTCATTATGGCCATAGTCAGACATAGACACATGTTCTTTGCGCTCATACATAAGACACACGCATACGATTTTTGTTGTTGTTGTTGTTGTTGTTGATCATTGGTCATTTTGAACAACAACAAGTCTTGATTCAAGAATTTTTCAAAATTCCTTTTTTTAACACCGAATCTGACCATCGATTCGATTCTATTTATTCTTGTAAATAATGTTTTAGTGTGCGTTTCATTTTCATTATTAATAGTTTTCATTTTTAATAAAAGTAATAACTTTTTTCTTTTTCTTTTTGGTTACAGGTGTTTTACGGAAACGAAAGATAATCATCATCAACGACAACAACAAATTTATCTTTTGGTTTGGCTACCGTGTGTGTGTGTGTGTCATTTCCGTGTGAAAAATAATAATAATAATAACTTGCGAAATGTGAATGTTTTTTTTACTGTTTCGGTATTTTCCAACTCTTCAATAATAATAATGATAATTGTAAGTAATTTAGCTATTTTAAAAATGGTTTCTCCTTTCTAATAATAATTTTATTGTTTCGTTTTCGTTCTTCCCATTAAAAAAATATGCACACAGATATTATTTAAATATGAAACGTCTTTTTTTTCTCTGATCCTTTCATCAATAAATCAATATAACGTTGTTGCGTGATTAAATTCAATAAAAAAACTAACGACGAAGAATTTCAACAAACATCATTCATTTCATCAAATCATTTTTTGTTTCCAGATAAAAAAAAACACCACTGTGTAAACTAAAAAAAATGTTTCAAATAAAACTTCCTGTTCGAGCATATAAAAAGCTTATATATTTAGCTTCAGTATCAAGTTTTTTATGTTTTTTAGCATTACATCTAACTATAAGCTATCAACGTGATCATATTGAACCGACAAATTATGATATTATGTTAAATAATAATAATAATATTGATACCACTAACAGTAATCAATATGGTTCAATAATAACTACTCCTACTGGTGGAGGTGGTGGTAGTGTTAATCAAATTGTTCGTAATTTATTACATGAAAAAAGTGATACAACATTAATAATAACCGATAATAATTCATCATCATCATCATCGGGTAATAAAAGTAAAACTTTTGCCATAGAAAAATCATCATCAAATGCTCAACAATCATCATTATCATCAACTTTATCATCATCATCATCGATGACATTCAATCCACATTCTAGTGCCATTAATCAAACAACACAATCAATACAACAACAACCAAAACAACAACAACAATCAAATTTTGTTGCAGAATCATCATTATCCTCAGCAAATCAGCAAACCGATAATCAAGATAATGATGATGAAAATATTGATGCATATCTTGATCTTGAACCACATATTGATCAGATGCCCGTATTGAATGAAAATCAACAACTAATTGATCTGGAAAATCAAAATCATGGTAGTAATAATTTAGCCCTATCATATTGGTTGAAAGCACGTAAATATCCAAAACCTAAATCATCGACAAACACTAGCAACAGTAATAGTAAAAGTTGTCGTGTTGAATTTCCAAATCTTTATGAGCTTGAATATAATAATATTTATTGGCAAAAATTTACCAATTTCAATGGTAATGGTAATGGTAGTTCATTTTATTTATATGGTGCATATTATGATAATCGTTGGCGTGGTGGACCATTACCAATGATACGTATATTAGCAATGATTGATCGTATTGCACCACCACCTACATTTTGTCAAATTTGGTTCGATCGAATTTCGGTACCAATCATTTCACAAGCATCATATATTTATGGTTGGTATAATAAATGGGGTAATTATAAAGATGGTTATCTACAACCATATATTATTACGTGTAAAATACCACGAATCAAAGGATTACCAAAAGATTTTTATCCAACATCAGTATCATTGGTTGAAAATCGTTGTCAAAAAGCAAATAATAATCTGAAAATTATTAATAATCGACCAGAGAAGAAACAAGAATTTGCTGTTTGTGTTAAAGGTCTCGATTTTTTACATGAAGATCTTAGTGTTCGTTTAGTTGAATGGATTGAATTGTTACGTTTATTAGGAGCGAATAAAATTTTTCTTTACGAACTAGAAATTCATCCAAACATTTCAAAAGTATTGGATTATTATCAACGTGATGGTGCTGTTGAATTAACAAAAATTTCATTACCAGGTCATCAACCTAATTTACCTGGTTTTCGGCATCTGTATTTGAAAAATAAACTTACACATAAACGACAAAATGAATTAATTCCATATAATGATTGTCTTTATCGTAACCTGTATAGTTATGATTATGTTGCACTGTTAGATATTGATGAAATAATTATGCCAATCAAACATTCAAATTGGTCGGATTTAATGGCCGAAATACAACGTCTGTCGTTGATGGAAAAAAATTATACACGTGCAAGCTATAATGTTCGGAATGTTTATTTTTTAGATGATTTAAATCATAATGAAGAACAAATGCAACATGAAGCACACGAGGCTGGAATTCCACGATATTTACATATGCTGCAACATGTATATCGTTCACAAAATTATACAAAACCCGGTCAATATGTTAAATGTTTTCATAATACTGAACGGGCAGTTTCGTTGCATAATCATTTTCCATTAAATTGTTTCGGTACATGTACTACTTATTCGATACCAATTGAATTAGCACAACTACAACATTATCGTAAAGATTGTGTTGGTCCATTGAAAAAAAGTTGTAAAGAATTTCGTCAATATACAACACGTGATACTACTATATTTCGTTATAAACATGATCTGGTTCAACGTACTACACATGTATTGAAAACATTAGGATTTTTTGATCAAAATTCAATTCAAGAACAACAACATTCAAATGCATAGCAAAGCATAACATAACATTCCGGATTCTTGATTTCCAATGAAACAAAAAAAACTGTGTTCTGGGCCCTGGATCTAACATTCTGTTGCCCTCAATTCTGACTGAATTTTGAATTTCTGAAAATTCCTAAAAAAGCTAGTCGCTAAATCCACACACACACACACTACACATCAATACAAATTGTTTGTAAATATATTCCCCCAAACGCATACAAAATTCTTTTTTTTAAACACACTGCACACCTTTTTTTCCAGGTCTCATCAAATGAATGAATGATTTTGAGACTTTTATTTGTGATTTTTATTTTCTTCTTCTTTACCATTTTCTCACTCTCATTTATTATCATTTTTTGTTTGTTTGTTCGAATTCATCGTTTGACTGTATTTTTTTTCTTGGTTTGTTTGCATTGTAATCATCGATATGAAGAAATACTTAACTAACTAACTGAATTGAATGTCCATCCGGTGCCATCATTATTTCCACCTTTAGCCAACAAACAAAAAAAAAATCACAGCCGCAATAATCGATGGAAAATATGATTGATTTATTATTGATCGACCCAAATGTCATTTCATTATACCATGAATGATAAACCGTTTTTCTTTTTCTTCTGTGTAATCTTGATTGTTAATATTTTTCATTTTTGTGGTTTTATTTGTGAAAATAAATAAATAAATGATTTTTTTATTAAAAAACAAAAAATTTATGGAATTTTAACCATTTTTCCAAATTACAACAATAGATGGCGCTCAATTAACTGTTATGAGTTCAACAAGTTCCATAAAGGATAATCAACGAAAGAGGGTACAGTGACATCTGTTGGTTCGGAATTCGAATGGTTAAATCTAAAAAATCAGAATTCTGAAAGTCCATTTTGGTTTCAAAAACAACCAAGAAAACAATGGCCGGATGATTTTCACAAAATAAACATAATTACAAAGTTATTTTTTTCTTTTCTTTTTATGTTTTTTTATATTGAGAATTAGAAATAACCAAAACCGATTATTAACATCTTTTAAGGTCACAAAAACAAATATCGCAGGATTTTTTTTCTACAAAAAAAAACAATGTGTTGCGTATTGATTATCATTACAACCGGATCAAAAAAGAATTTTCCGATGAAAACAAACAGGATATTCCTTGGATTGATTGATTTTTACTTGGGATTTTTTTCAAATTCTGACCAAGCTTCATTTAATTCCATAAAAATATATTTGGCCAATTCTTCATGTGGACTACCTACCAACTGAAAAAAGAGAAACAAACGTCAATCGAAAAGTTTTGTTTTTTGGGAAACACTTACTTTATCCGGATGAATAGCCAAACAAGCTTTTCTATACATTTTTTTCACATCATTCGGTGTTAATAATTGATGCATACCAATCGGTGTCCAATTACAACCATCCCATACAATAGTATTCAATGAACAAAGTAAAGCACGTATATTTTTCTCTTTATTTTCAGTCCATTCACCAACTTTCATGATGATAGGATTGGCACCCGATTTAAGCTTTTAACAAGAATACAAAGAATTTTTAGACATTGATCAACAACAAATAAAAATATTGACTTACCATTTCTGCTTTACGAATTTGTGCCATAGTTTTATTTGCATTATTATTATTATCTGGATTAGTTTTTTTAAAACCACATAAAAGATCTTCAAATTCATTTCCATTAACACGTGGTGTTTTCAATCCGGTTCTTGAAAATATATCATCAAAATTATGACGACTATAATCCGGTCGTATTGGTTTTGTTTGATAATTTGTTGTTGTTGATGCTGACGTTGTTGTTGTTGTCGCTGAACCTTTATTCGTTTTCGAGTCTTCAGGAAAATTATTAAAAGAAGCAACACGAGGTATAGATCCCAATGGAATTGATGATTTACAAGTTTCATTATTTGAAAAATTTAGATAATCATTAAGATCACCAAAAGGATCAAAAGCCCTAGCAAGATTTGGTGTAGATGGATTTTTTGATTTAAGATTCGAATCCATTTTCGTGATACCACCACCACCAATCCTTGTTGGATTTAATGATGAATTTGTTGTTGTTGTCGTAGTTGGAAACACTAGTTTATCATCAAAATCAGGTGATTGATCCATATTAAGAAGATCATCGGTTGTTAATTTAGAATTACCATATAAATCATCATTATTACTGAATAAATCAATTTCATTTGAAGATTTTAATAAATCATTGGAAAATTTCCTTTGTTCATTTTCCTGATTTGATGATTCACCAAAACTAAGATTTACTAATAAATCAGTTTTTTCTTGATGGTTGTTGTTTGTTAATTCATTATCATTATTGCACTCTTCTAACAGGTTAATATTGTTCATTTTCATATAAAGAAAATCAATATCATTTTGAATCGGTGAAGATTTTTCCGTATCAACCAATCTGAAATAGATTATTATAAAATGAAGAATAAGTATTTTCAAAAATATTTTGATTCACAAAATCAACTTACAATGATGATTGTTGTTGAGTATAAACAGAGTCGGTTTTAATTTCACGAGGATCGTCGTCATGTTTCATCATTAGGACATCAGAATTTAATTCAAGAAATTCTTCATATTCACGATTATCAACAAATATACATTCCGGTTTATCGATTAACATTATTTCTAATTCATTGATTTTTGATTGAAATTGTTTTTCATTTAAACAATCATTATCAATTCTTCTGTTGTTTGAAATGATTTCATAATCAATTTCAATTCTAAAATCAAATGGAAACCTATCCAATTCTTCAATATGATCCAAATCAGTCAAATTGAATTCAATTTTATGCTGGCCCAAATCTTGATCATTATTTTCAAAAAATAAATTAAATTGTAATGATGTTATCCGTATTGCCGTTGGTTTTTGTTGATTTAACATTTTTGAACTAATTGTTGATCTTGCATGATAAATAACCAAATACAAATCGGTTGTTAAATCAAATTTTACATTAATATCCTGCCATATTACAAATTCATTGATTCCTTTTGAATATTGTATTAATTTTTCATAATCACTAAATGTTGAATAAATTTTTTCGGATAAATTTGAATATAATTCCAAAAAAGGACGACAACCATCTCTTAGTTTTGTAAATAATGGTATACCAAACATTTTAATCGATCTGATTATTACTGATTGTTTTTTCGATGAAAAAAAATCCATATATTTTTCTTCTTTTTTGAGCTTTGTTATATAACCAAGATAACGATATTGTGATATAGTTAAATCGAGTGGATTTCGTTTCAATAGGAAAAATTTTAGCGCTTGATGATAATCATTAAACAAACCGATTAAAATTAAAAATGATATGGTTAATATTGAGGAATTATTTTTGCCATCCTTGAAAACCAAGAGAAAAGAAACAAAAATAAGAATTCAATGAAAAACAAAACAAAAAACAAACAACTAACCATACAATGAATGACAATCGTATTACGATTATTCAAATTCATCCATTTAAATATTTGATCGCATAATGAAATAATTGAATATAATGGTGCAATTCGTTTTGAATCTTTCCAATAATTATTACTGCCACCACCATCAATAACTTGAATTTTTGGACCAAATTTAATCGAATGATCATATGAACGTCCACTAATATTCACGACTAAATATGGTGCATCACGTGATTCAAGTACAGCACGAACATCATCAATATGATTACGATATGCAGATTCTAAACCTTCGGCTGGATAAGACATAACCAATAAACGTGATGTATAAAATGTCATATCTAAATCTTGTCTTGCAATAGAACTAAAATAAAAGAAAAGATTTTCATAAATTTTCAACAAAAATCAACAAAAAAAAATCAATTTACTTTTGAACAGTTTGCATAACTTTACTGGATGTATCTTTAAGATATTTCGTAAAACCAGCAAAATATGATTGTGCAATACCAGGTACTGCTTGAACAACAACAGGAGATTGCAAATTTGTTGTTGTTGTTGATGGTTGTTCGCTAATGGTCGGTGATAATTTCGTATCCATTTTCGGTATCAAACAAGGAGAATTTAGATCGACAAAATTTTTATTCATTACTTTCAATATTGTTGAACAATCGATTCGATCCGATGGATTTACTTGTAAACATTGTCTACCGGGGGAACAAAATCGAAAAATTTAGAAATTGAATTAACAATCAAGACAGGTGATATGACTTACTTGATTAAATCTATAATCGGTTCTTGATGATTTACCGTTGATGGTAATGTATATTTACAATTAATAATACGTAATTTCGAAGAATCTTCAAATGGATGTTGACCAAAACGTAAACAGAATATTAAACAACCAAGCGCCCAAATATCCATTGATGTATTAATTTCATAATGAAGATATGTATCAAGAATTTCTGGTGGACGATACATTGGTGTTGTATGACGATTCATCTATAGATAAGATTTCAAAATTAAAATGAAAAAAATCACTTAATAAAAGCCTTACTTCATCTTCTAACAATGATCGTTGCATTGGTGTCCAATCGTGATTAGGTTTATATGATTTATCAGTTGCTGAACCAAAATCACATAGTTTTAGAAAACCATTCGAATCAAACAGAATGTTTTCAATTTTAATATCTCTATGTATAATATTCATTTGATGCAATTTTTCCAATGCTAATGTTAATTGAAATATAATACGATTCAACAGTTGTTTATCGATGATTGGTAATTTAAAATCTTTTAATGATCCTGATCCACAATGTTCACTGATTTCAAAAAAGGAAAAAAATCGAATCAAACTAAGTACAATGAGAAAAAACAGAAACTTTTTCTTACCACAAAAGATAATAAATATTCGATTTAATAATATTATAACCATAAAATTCCATTATATGTCTATGTGTTTGTATACGTTCCAAAATTGAAATTTCATTTTCAATTTCATTACGTGATTCATTATCCGAAGAGATCATACGTTTAATAGCATAAATTTTATTTGTTTTTAAATCTTTTGCCTGATAAACATAACCAAATCCACCTGGTATAGGGGGAAAAAAAGATCAAAAAAATTGCCACAAAAAAAAAGAATGAAAAGAAAATCACAACCTTCAGCAATTAACAGTTCAAGACGTAAATGATAAGTTCCAATATCAACAATATCACCAACAGATGGATTATTTGTTGGATAATTTTCACCAATCGTTCGATCTATTATCGATGAATTGGCCGTTGTTTCTGTTGTTGTTGTTGTTGAGGCTGTTGCTGATGCAAAGCCAAAATTTCGAAATAATTCATTCATTTTTTTTTAGTTTTGTTTTCTAAATCTCAATGATGATTGAAATGGAAGCGAGTAATATATACACACACATTTGAAGACCGAAGATTATCAAAATGAAGAGATAAGTCTCAAAAAATAAGCAATTTTTCGAATGAATTTGACAAAAGTAAAGTAAATTATCACAATTTTTTTTTGTTTTCAAAATTGAAGTCCAAGGAGCCAAAAAGAACAAACAAAGATAAATTAAATAAAAATCAGATAGAAAATAGGTAAAAGAAGAAGGAAAAATTTGGGTGAAAACTTGGATAAAAGAGAGAATTATCTAGTTGTTGTTGTTGTTGTTTTTTGACTTATTATTGTTGTTGTTAACTACTTGATGAAAAGGCAGCTGGTGGAACCCAAACAACAACAACAACAACAAAAATTATTTTCAACAACAGCAGTCAGTTATCATTTGTCATCATCATCATCATCAACGTCTTCATCGAAGCATTCAACAAAAAAATCCACCTTCTCTTTTTTTTTCTTTTTGGATGTATACAGCACACACAGCAGCAAATGTTAACTCATATTTTCGGGATCAAATTGAACGCCATCTTTTGGCGAAAAGAATTGATTTTTTTAAAAAAATGAAAAGATTTATTTTGAAAATTAAAATTTCTGATTTGATTTTGTTTTTTACAAAATAAAAAATAAAAATCGATTAAATTAATTGTAATGTTTGTTTGTTTTGATTAATCTTTTTATATATTGCACAATGATGATAAAATACAAATGCGATTTATAAATGATGATGCATATGATATAAATGTGTTTAAATGCATGAATGAAAAAAAAATGTAATGTAGTTTGTAATGGGATAATATTCTTGATTATAAACAATAAAATATAAATTATGATTTTGTTTTTTAGATTAATTCATCCATTTACGACAATTAGCAGCACCACAAAGACATGGAATTTTATGTTGATCATCTTCAACATCGAATTTATAATCATAGGTAAGCTATATATTTGGATTGTGTGAATAGAAAAGAAAAAAGAAAAAGTTAATTTATAAAAATCATTCAATCAATTTATTCAATGTTACCTCTTCGCCTTTTTGAATTTTACGATTAGCAACAATAAGAATTTTATTTTCACGATCAATTTGAACACAATCGGTTACACAATTTGGATCACAAGAATGATTAACATAACGTGCAAGTCCACCTTGTAATGTAGCATCGATTATACGATTATCATCCAAACGAAACATATAGATTCCACGATTCTATTGCAAACAAATAAACAAATCAAAAATAAAAGAATTCAAAACAAAACCAAAACCAAAACAAAACTTACATGTTGTTCATAGATACGTTCATTACGATCAGCAATATGATTTCGTATAATAAGTCCAGTATATTCAATAATCATTGTATGTTTTTCAATATCTTTTTTTGCATACAAACCAAGACCTTGGATTTGTGACCGGCCAAGTGAAACATTATTACGCCATTCTAATTTCATTTTCCGATATTGTGATACTTTTGATGGTGCAAATGGTTTAACATATAATGATAATGATGATGATGATGATGAACAATCAGTATTTATTAATGGTGATGGTAATGTTGATAAACGATGATTATGATAATGATATTGATGATGATAATGATGATGATGTACACTAGTTGATGAAATATGTAATGTATGTGGTCGTTTATAATGAAAACGTTTAAATGGTTCTGATCGAGCACAACCACTTGGATTAATAGCTAATGGTAATTCATACCATGGTGAACGACCATATCGAAGTTTATAATCATCAAGTTGATCAATACCAGGTAATGATTCTAATATACGTACGATTGATGGTTCTTTAAGACCAAACAAATCTTCACCGGTAATAAAATCAAAAAATACTTTAATTGTTTGTGCTTGTTCACGTAATTGAACAATTGATTTGATAATTTTTTCCCATGCTAATTTTGGTGTCGATGCTTCATACAATATTGTTTCATAACCATCTTCTTTAACTTCGATAATAAACAATGGCCGTTCATTACGTTCAGCAATTGAACAAATATATTGACAACGTTTACCCAAATGTCGTGGACTCCAATAAAACCTTGATACTTTATAACCAATAGGATATATACATGTTTCTGTATGAAAATTTTGTAATTGATGTGGTAATAGCTGGCCAATATTTAAAAATATCAAACTACCAATACGCATTAGATTATTATCATCACCATGATGTAACATTGCGGCAATTTGTTTTTGTTCATCACGATTAATATAAACTTTACGATTAACAACAAAAGAATTCATTTCTTCAGCATTTAAAAATGGTAAACCTTTTGCGGAATGTGTTGGACAAAATAATGTTTTATCCGTATAGAATACACATTTTTCTTTGATAGCACAAGGAAAATGATATGAATTATTACAACGTAAACGAAAACATTTTATCGATGCACCCAGTTTTGAACATTTAACACAAACCGAATTCATAGCACGATTATATGCTTGATCAACATTCATTAAAGCACCATTACACATTTCATATACTTCATATGACCATAGGGCACAATTCAAATGAACCCATTTATCAACATCCATATTTAATAATCTGGATGGACCATCAGCACAACCATCACCCAATTCATGACAAAAAATACATTGTCGTTTTTCTTGACTTGTACGATTTGGTTTTAAACATATTTCCAATCGATCTAATAATTCTTCAACAGTTTCATTATCATTATCATCATTGGTATCATTCATATCTTCAAGTTTGATGGCAGAATTATCATTATCATCAACCATAGTAGCAACAATGTTTTTTCTTTTAAATGAATCATTATTCCAATATAAATATCTTGTATTTTTCCAATGTTTTTCATTTATACTGATTATTGATTCAATATCCGTACTTGGTTCACTATTATTATCTAAATTATTACCACCACCAGTACCCGAATTAAATATTGATAATAATTCTGGTTCAGCAATATCCATTGATTCATCATTAATAATATCCATATCTTCATGTTTAATCGAAAAATTATTATTATCCGATTTCAACTTGACATTTGTTAATGTATAATTTTTAAAACATTCTTTATTACAAAATTGATCATTATCATCCATAATGGTCAAATTATCACCACCAATCATTGATCGATCATTATCCAATGTACAATGACAATATTTACAACAAATTTTATTCGAATTTTTAATTTCAATCACTTCAGTTGTTGTTATCGATGATGATGATTTTTCAACATTATATGTAAATGTTGTTTTTAATTTTAATAATTTTGCTAATGCTTCCATTACTTCTTTAATATTATGTTTTGGATTAATCATTAAGGTAATCTCTACCTGTGCATTATTATCATATTCTTTTAATGGCAATTGTTGTTGTTGTTGTTGTTGATTATGACCATATTTATTCATCAAAGTAGATTTTGTTTTCTGTGAATGATTTTGGTGATGATGATTTTTCAATTCATTTTCTTTATTATTTTCACCATTATCTGAATATAATGGTAATGGTCGTATTGGTAAAAATGTTATAAATGGTGATTTTCGATCTTCTTGATCATTAAAATAATCATCATCATCATCATCATCCTCATGATCATTATCCGAATTATCATTAATATATTTCATACGATTATATTCATCTTTTGGTTGATTATACAACATACATTCAGGTGATGATGATGATACAATTGTTTCTGGACTATCAATATCTCTTGAATATAATGAAAATGATTCATCTTTTATATCATTATTATTGAATGATAATAATGTTGATTCATCTTTATTAAAATTATCCATAAACGATCGACCAAATTCTTCTTGATAATAACCAACTTTTTGATTTGAATTCAACATTGTTGTTGAATTCGTTGGTATCATATTCGGTGTTGGACGATTTGGTCCAAATGGATAATATGAATAATAATCAATTTGTGTGGGTAAATATGCATTACCATAACAACCTTTTAATTGGGTTTTTTTCCTTGATAACATCGATGATGATGATGAATTAAATCCATTCGTAGATGAATCTGGCGGTAGACAAACATTCAGATTTACTTGAATATCAGGTTCAACAATTTGTACAGCAGGTAATGTACGAAAATGATTGATAATTGATGTTAAAAGTTTTTCATTGCTTGTACTGGTTGAATCATTTGAATTTTCATCACATTTTGTTTGTGAACTTTTTCTTGGACGTTTTTTCGTTTTAGTCATTGTAGTTTGATTTGAATTATTCGAAAAAACATCTTGACTTGTTGAATCTTGACTATCAATACTTTTTTGACTTTCTTTACGTTTTACTGTTCGTTTACGTTTTGGTTTATCTTCAGGTGGTGGTGTTGGTTCACGTTCTAATTGTGCACGTCTTATATCTAAATAGCTTGGTTTTTTTACCGGTAATGTCGGTGTAGTCGGCGTAGTACTTGATTCATTTATCGTTGTTGCTGGAATCGGAACAGTAACCGGAACAGCATTTTCAACCGGTGCGGTCGAAATAGTTGTCGAATCTTTCGTTTCAACATTTGCAGCAGTAGTTTCAATCAATGAAATCGTTGTTGATGATTTTGATTCAATTTCAGAAGTTTCGTTTGAAATTACAGCAGACAAAGAAGAAATAGCAGTAGGTAAAGATTCCTGTTTATTTAGATTTTGATCATTTGTTGAAATTTGTTGTTGTTGCTGCTGTTGTTGATTAGATAATGCTAATGATTTAAGATGATCAGCTGATGGACAATTTTGTAATAATTTTTTTAATAATGCATTCTGTTTAATTGAATGTGCATCATCATCATCTGATGATTGTTGTTGTGGTTGTGGTTGTTTTGATGTATCCGATTGAATTTGATTTGTTGAAAGAATAGCTGGTGACTCTTCGATAGCTGCGGCAATTCCCGATTGATTTGAATTATGATCATCATTTCGTTCATCCGGCAAATGATCAGATGAATCATCAGCTGTTGAATGATTAACAGTTTCAACAATATCCGATGATGATTGTTGTTGTTGATTCGAATCGGATGATGATGATTGTTGTTGTTGTTGTTGCTGTAAATTATTATCATTATTTTCCGATGAAATAAGAATTTCCTGTATCGGTTCCTGAACTGGTTCAACTTGTTGCTGCGATGATTGTTTATTTTCCGAATCCATAGCATTTTCTTTTAAAAATGTAAACGGGTCCGATTCATTATCAACACCATTACCTTGTTCAGACAAGGTAAATTCCATAGTTGTTTCAGCTTCACCTACAATAGGAACACCACCACCACCACCAATCATTGATGGATCCATCATTGGATTCATTTGTTGTTGTTGTTGTTGATATGATTGTTGCATCATTTGCATATGACCAGGATCTTGATAATGTGTAGCGGCAACAGTAGTAGTTGGTTGCATAATTGATGGATCGATTGTTTGCGATGATAAAGATGGTTGTTGAGGCTGTGATGGTGGAATTGGATTTCGCATTGGCATTCGAAGTTGTTGTGATGGATGCGGTGAACGATAACCACCGCCACCAACAACAACAGGTGATGGTGGACAATAACCAGGATGCTGCTGTTGTTGTTGTTGTTGAGGATTTCCAGGATAAGGTGGGGGTGGTGGTCTACGAATTTGTTGTTGTTGTTGATAATTTGGTACTGATTGTTGCTGTTGAATTTGACCGGATTGTTGTTGTTGAACAAAATGTGTATTGATAGGTCCAGATGGACCTGGAAATCTTTGCGGATAAGTTTGTACAGGTGATTGTGGTGGTGGAAATGATGATAATGATGAATTTCTTTGATATGGAGATTGACCAGGATGTTGATAATATTGTTGTTGTTGTTGACCATCATCAAATCCTGATTGATATTGTTGTTGATGATAAATTGATTGTTGTTGTTGTTGTTTCTTTTCTTTTTGTAAATAAACATCTGAAAATGGATTATTATCATCTTGGACGATTTGTGGACGAATTCCAACAACATTCGATGTAACAATCATTGATGATTGATCAATAGTCATTGGTGATTGTGGCATTGTTGCTGCAACTGTTGCTGGTGAATGTAAACCAGACATTACTGGTGAATTATTTTGCATCAACGATGATGATGATGATGGTGATTGATTTATTAATGATGGTGATTGTGGTGTTGTTGATGATATTCCAGCTAATGGTGTATTTGGACCTGATTGATTACTACTTAAAGCAGCCAATGATGGTGAATTTACTAATCTTGTTGTTGGTGGTGTTTGTGTTCGATTTGCACCTGGTGAATGCGGTAATGTATTCGAAGAAGCTGCTGCTGCTGATGTTGCTGTGGATGTTTTACGTTTATCCGGTATAATATTATTCTGTTTATTATATTTACGAACTTGATCCAGCTGTTTTTGTACATCATGTATTCGCTGTGTAACTCTTGCCAATTCTTCAGCATCCATTTCATTTAATTCATTTTGATTTTTTCTACATTGTCGTTGACGTGCATTCAATGATTTTTTTGTTTTACGCATCTGAGCTATTTCAGTTTCCAATGTTTTCTGTCGCTGGAGCATTGAATTTTGTTGTTGTGTCATTTCGTTATAATCATCAACGTTACCAACACCAGGCATCGGTGGTCGATGATGTTGTTGTTGTTGTTGTTGAATCATACGAGCATGTGACATTTGTTGTTGTTGTTGTAATAAATGTGGATTCTGAACAGGTTGCTGTTGCTGTTGTTGTAACATTATTCGTTGTCCACCACCAGGACCAGTATTTGGATACATTTGCGGCATCATATGTTGTGGCCGTCCCATCATTGCTTGTTGTTGTTGCGGTAACATCGTTCGAATATGCATTCGTTGTTGTTGCGGCTGATATGGTAAACGATTTTGTTGTTGCGGTGATGGCCATCCACCAACAGCGTTATTCGGATTATATTGTTGACGCTGTTGTTGATGTAATATTGGCTGCTGTTGCTGTTGTTGCGGATGTGTAGCTAATTGTGACATTTGATTTGATTGCATCATTGTAGATTGTTGTTGTTGTTGTTGCTGATATCCAGTCGGTTGTTGCGGTTGTTGTTGTTGAGGTTGTTCATCATTAAAAAAATCATTTTTTAATCGTTCAAAATCATCATCACTTAATAATGAATCCGAACTAAAATATTGTCCTTGTTGCTGCTGCGGCTGTGATTCTGATTTAATCATTCTTGGTGGCTGTTGCGATTGCTGTTGCTGCAAATGCGATTGTTGTCGTTGAAATGTTACGGCAGTTGTTGTTGTTGGATGAATTTGTTGTTGCGATTGTTGTTGTTGTTGATCAACATTTTCATTCTTAACAACATCAATCTTCTTTCCGGATTTTTCTTTATTTTCATTCGCCAACATATCATCTTTTTCATCCAATTCATCGAATATACTTGTTTTACCAACTGAACGACCATCCATACTTGCATCTGGATCCGCATATTCCAGAATATTAAAATCATTACCAAGTTGTAATAATTCATCATCATCAACTGCAAGTGAATCTACACCAACACCAACACCACTACTGCTACCACCGACAATAGTTTCATCAACTGTTTCAACAACATTTCCAACAATCAATGATGATGATGATGATGTGGATTGTTGTTTTGATGACATATCTAAATCTTGATTATCTATCATTTCGGGTTTAATATTTGTCGATGATAATGGTGATTGTGATGGACGAATCATTGAATCATTTGGAGAACATGATTGAATAGGCATTCGAATAGGTTGTTGTGTCGAAATAGGTGATGATGATGGTACATTTGGATTATTCCATTGTTGTTGCGATCTAGGTTTTCCAAGTTGTTGTTGCGATGATGTAAATCGTACATTAAACGATTGTTGTGATGATGTAGTTGATGGCGGTGGATATCGTACAATTCCTGGACCCATCATTGTCATTGGTCGCTGCTGAGCACTATCGATATTTGATCTAAATCGATAATTTTGTTGCTGCTGCTGCTGCTGTTGATTTGGATCCATTGATGATTGATATGGCATACGTGATGACATACGTGGTGCCATAATCGGTGACATTGGTTGCCGGAAATTATTCACCTGTTGCTGATCAGTTGACCATATTGGTGGTCTTTGTTGTTGTTGTTGCAATTGTGGCTGTGGTGTATTTGAAGGTGAAGGTGTCGATTGCAAAGAATCTGATCGACGCATCTGATGAACTTGAAGTAAATTTCTTAAATGTTGTTTATTTTGACCATTATCAATTTCATCCATTTTTGGCTGAACATATTGTTGCTGTTGTTGTGAACGAATTGGATTACCAACCGGAATACCAACACCAGCCCCACCACTATTGTATGGATCGGATAAGGCACGACGTATCATTGGTGGTTGTTGTTGTTGTTGATTAAGCGATTGCCCTGGTGGTAAAGGTTGACGAGGACCACCTGGACGCATCATTTGAACTTTGATACCACCACCACCAGACGTATCAGCTTGACAAGTAACAGGACTATTCATATTACCATATGAATCATTTTGGAATGGATTCTGTTGTTGTTGCGTTTGCTGCATGTATTGTGGTGAATACATTTGCGGTTGCGATTGTCGACCACCACCATAACTTTCATCAAATGAATGACAACGAATTTGTTGTTGTTGATTAGATGCGGCAACAATCGGTGGAGTATTATTACTATTGTTAATCGTCGATAATGATGGTCGTGGTGAACGTGCATATATCATTGAATTATCCGATGTAATTGGTGATTGTTGTTGAACTAATTGAGCAGGTGATTGTGGCTGTGGTTGAGGTGTTGATGGTGTCATTACAGATGATTGTTGTTGTTGCTGAATTGGACCATAAGGTGAATCAGGTGTTGATGGTGCCATTAATGGTTGTGATGATACACTTGATGGCATTGATGAATAAGGATCCGTTTGATGTGGTGTTCCAGGTTGTTGTTGTTGCTGATGATGAGCATGATGATGTTGATGATGACCAGTTGTTGATGATGATGGTGAAAATGGTGTTCGTACAGGTGTTATATATGGATTTGGTGTTGATGGTTGTTGTATATAAGGTGATTGTGATCGTTGTCCAGCCGGTGACATTGATGATGATTGATATGATTGTTGACCAATATCTACTGATGTAACATTACCAATATTCGGTGATGATTGATGACTTGGTGAAAATGGTGGCCGTACCATATGTTGCGTTGTTATTGTCGAAGATTGTTGTTGAGGATAACCACCACTAACGCTAACTTGTTCCGCATTATAAGGTCTTAAACGTGGTGACAAAATAATCGGACTCATTGGATGTTGTTGTTGTTGATTAGCTACAGGTTGTTGTTGTTGCATCATTGTTGGATTTGGTGACATTTGTGAAATGATTGGTCCACCAATTGGTGGTGATGAATACATTTTTGTTGCTTGATGATGATGATGATAATCACCACCACCATTACCACTGGATGATGGTAACGGAGATGGTGGTGGTGGTAATTGCGATGCTGATTGTTGTTGTTGTTGTTGCGGATGATTATGATAACCAGTATCCATTTTTTTACCATTATTATTACCACTATCCATCGTTTTATTAATCATTTCGGTTTGATTCTTTTTCTGTGCTGAACGATTATCTCTTGCCATTTGTAACCATGGTTGTCGTTGTTCAGTTGATAATTGCCGCCATATTTTATGTATTTGTTTTAAACGATTTGACCATTCCGGGAATTCATGTTTCAAATTTGTATGATTAACATTTGCATAAAGTACAGCTGATATTGTTGCATATCTGCCTAATGCTTCTTCAGCTTCCCATTTTATAAAATTTTTCTGTCCTTGTGATGTTCCTGGTTCAGAATCCGTTTCCGTTACCGAAACATTCGAAACAATCTGTGATGATGGCGGCGGTGGTGGTGGTGGTTGTTGTGGTATATTATGATGATAATAATTATCTTGATGATTGGATGGTGGTATTGGTAATGGCTGTTGTTGTTGCGGATGAGGTTTAAATGATTGCTGTGGCGGTACCATAGATGCTTGTTGTTGAGCCATTGTATGATTAGGAGGTGGAGCATGATGCGGATGCGGATGCTGAAGATGCTGGGGATGATTTGGAGGAAGACTATCAAATGTATTGGAAAATTGTTGATGTAAATTTGAAATTGAATCATTCATAATAACAGGTGTTACAGGTGTTGATAATTCATTGCCAGACATATTTGGTGCCATTATTTGTTGCGATGGATGATGTTGATGATGTGGATGAGGAAGAGGATGATGATGACCATGATGACCATGCTGGTGATGATGATGATGTGGTATCATTTCCGTTTGTTGTTGTTGGATAGGAAGATTTGGATGCGGAGTTGATGGCGCCGCAACTAATTGCGGTGGTAATGATGCAGGTGGCATTGATGGTGGAGGTGCAACAACAACATCAACAACATCCGTTACAGGCATTGAATTATTTGACATAACCAAAAAATCTTCAACATCTTTACTATCCATTTGTGGTAGGCCATCCGATGCGTTCAATGAACCAAAATTAAATCCAGGATCCAATATATCATCCATTGAATTCATTTTATTCGTTTGTTGTTGTTGTTGTTGTTCCGAAACCGATGTTGTTACATTATCAACAACAATATTTGATTTATTATCACCACAACCACCGATAACATCATCATCAATATCGTTAACAATTTGATCATCTGGATTATTACCACCATCAATATCATTAGCATCACCATCAGTAGCCACAGATAATTCATTCAATAATTCATTTTCATCATCATCATTAAATAATTTATCAAATAAATCAACTGGTGATATTAAATCATCAACGGCAAAATTTTCACCAAAAAAATTCAAATCATCATTATTTTTAACAATATTCTGTCCATTTGTAACAGTAGTAGTTGTTGTTGTTGTTTTATTATCCAAACCAAGATTCAACGAATTCAAATCAACAATAGCATCTTTTGAAATTGATTCTTCATCACCATCAATGTCATCAATGTCATTATCATCATCATTATTGGATTCTTTGCCATCATTTTCATCAAACATTTCTTTTGAATTATTTGCTGCTGTTGATGCAGTTGTTATTACATCTAATAAATCTTTACCAAAAAATGCTTCCTGTAAATAACTTGGATATTGATCTTGTAATTGATTTTTCTTTTTATTTATCCGTCGACGACGACGTCGACTATTTTCACCACCTGTACCTGAAGATGAAGCATTTTCCGGTGTTGTTGATCTTGTCGGTTCAAAATAATTTCCATTATTATTATTAAAATCTTGACTTGTTTCATCAAAACGATTATTATTACCACCACCACCATTACTACCACCACGTTGTTTTATCAGAAATCCACCAATACCTAATTTATCCAGACGTAAACGACGTAAACGTTTTTTCTTTTCTTCTTCACTTTCATTATCATTATTATTATCGGTGATATCCTGTTCTTTATTACCATTCGTTGATTGCTGCTGATCATCTTGTTGATCATCTTTATTATTTTTACGTTTTGATCTAGTTTTTTTCGGTTGTTCAATTTGTTGTGATTTTATCATTGCTAAACCTGTTTCCGAAAGATAAATACCATCAACCAAATGATATTTTGATAATAATTTCATTGAATTTGTTTGGTTATTTAGATCTTCGTTGCGATTTATATTCGAATCAAACTGATCTAAACCACTGACTTCTTTCTGTTGTTGTTGTTGTTGTTCAGATTTTTTCATCAATTCAGGATCATTTCGTTCTTCTTGTCTTTTTTTATTAAATATTGTTCGTAATGTACCATTTTTTCTTGCTTGTATATATGATGGCAATTCATTTAATGGACGACAATTTAAACATTGATAACCAATACTTGATGCAATTTCACATTCATTTTCATCCATTAATGAATCACATTTTGAATGTAACCAACGTTGACATTGTATACATTGTATTATTAAATCATTTTCATTATAATTCAATTTACATATTGAACATTTTTGTTGACTAGCACAAGGGCCACATAATGTATAATTTTCTTGCCATTCTGAATGAAAACCAGGTTTGGTTGATTGACAATTTGTACAAATAGCACACCATTGACATTTCCATGTACCTTGTGGTACTTCTTCTAATGGTGGTTCAAGACAATATGTATGATAACTAATATCACAATCATCACATAATAATAAACGTGAATCATCTGTTGCTTTTCCACAACCTTCACAAACGGTACATTCTAGGCAACGCCAACCTTTATTAAGCATTGTTTTGGTTATTTTGGTTGGTTGTGAATCCTGAGCACAAAACAAATGATAACATTGACCACATTGAGCACAGGCAATCAATCGACCATCATCACCTTTACCCAAACTTCCACAATTAACACAAATATCTTGACTTAATAGAAAATTATCTTTACTTGAACATAAAATGATTTTATTTTCAATACCACCATTATCATCTTGACTATTATTATCTGTTATGGATGTTGTTGTTAATTGTTGATTATTCATATTGGAAGAATTATTATTTGTTGATTGTTGATATCCACCATTATAAAATGAAATTGATGCATATGATGATGATGATGATGATAACCCTACAGTAGCACTGGTGGTGTTTGTTGAATTATAATTTTTAAATTTTCCTTTTGGTCCACGTTTTTTACGATATTCAATAGTTTTATTTCTACGATTACCACTTAATTTTCCTTTAATTTTTCCTGAAATATTTAATTTCTTTTTAGCTGTAACAATTTTATCATCGGTCGAAATATTTGTTTCCGCCAGAATCGATACCGAATTATTATTATTATTGATTAAAATCGAATCTGGTTCATTTGTTGATGGTGATGAGGAAGATCGGTGAATAGATGAATGATCCATTTGACCTGATAATGTTTCCGTTATCAATTCTGATGATGATACATCTAATAATAAATCACCAGATTCATCAACAACAGAATCTGTTGATGGATCTTTCAATTCACCAATATCATTTTGATCGATTGTTTCATTTGCTGTTGATTCGATAGTCGATGATGTTGAAATAGATTTTTGTTCTTCTTGTTGTGGTGGAGACGGTGATGGTTGCTTTGTTTCGATTAAAATTTCTTCTGATTTTTCAATAATCGATTCAGATTTTATTATTGTTGTTGAGCTATCTGAAAAATTTAATATTAAATTTTGGGCAAATTTTCTTTTTGGACGATTATTTCGTCCTGGACGACCTGGAAATAGATTTTTTTGATGTATAGGCACTTTACCACTATCTACTTTACGTAAACGTCCGGATGTACGTTTAGTTGTTGTTGTTTCCGTAACAGCTGCATTTGCGTTTGTGGATGATATTGTTGAGCTAGTCGTCGTTGTTGTTGTTTCTTCTTCTTCTTCTTCCGTTTTAAAAACATTCGTAACATCGCTGGCATCTTTTTGATTCGAAACTTTTGATTGATTGGAGGGAGTGGTAGACGCCACATTCGAATTCGAACATTCGATTGTTACAGATTGATTGGATAACCCTATTGCATTATTATCATTATTATTATCGGTTATCATTGATTCGCTATCAATTGAATCACCATCATCATCATCTTCATTATCGTCGTCGTCGTCGTCATCTTCAACATCGTCATTATCATCATCATCTTCATTATGCATTTCACCATCATCATCTTCATTGAATAATGATTCTTCATCATCACCACCACCACCACCACCACCAACAACAGTATTTTTATTCAAATCAATCATAACAATTTCATTATCCTCATCATCATTATCTGTTTGATTATTTGCTGCTGATTCTGCTGCAAAATAACAAAAAAAAAGATTGAAATTTAGAAAAACAGAACAACAAACATACCATTAAAATTTAAAACATCATTCGAATCATCCATATTTGCTAGATTTTTAATTCAAAAAAAACAAAACAAAATAAAATGTCAAATTCACGATTGAATCAAGATTTCAAAAAAACAACAAAGAATTCACATTATGCACAAAAAAAACAGAAAAACAAAAAACAAGAACCAGAATCGAAAACAGATGATGATGATCATGTGATGATGGGGAAGACACTAATTTTTAGGTTGATTATTCTTTTGATTCCAAGATTTGTTGATAAATGTGTTTGATTTGAAAAATTTTTTCTTCTTTTTTTTTTGAAACATTAGAATCTTCTTGAGCTGAGAAAAAAAATCATGGAAGTCAAGAAAAAGTTGAATTGAATAAAATATGATTGGAAGAAAAAAACGGCGCACAACAGTCAAGATAAGCGAAAGTGCTGCTGTTATTTTTTTTTTTGCCACTGCTCGATTCCAAAATGCCGAGAGTTTTTGGCTCAACAAAAATCTTTATTATGGTGTGTGTGTGTGTACAACGTAACGCAGAACGCAGCACATAACGTAAGGCAGAACATAAGGCAAATCCGCGAATTCAACACACACACGCACTTGTCAGTCACAATAATATTCGGCGCGAGTGTCTATTTGGGCAACTATTTCGACAGCTGATTGGCCGAAAAAAAAAAATTCTTGCCTTTTCGATCACATGTCACATTTTTTTGTTTCGAAAATTTTTTTTTCAAAAATTTCAAAGATTTTTTCAAGATAAAAATTTGCAACAAAAAATGGAATTATTGTCCGAAACAGGTTTACGTATTGATGGACGTCGTCCAAATGAAATCCGGAAAATTAATTGTAAATTAGCCGTATTCGAACAAGCGGATGGTTCGGCTTATTTTGAAATTGGTAATACAAAAGTATTGGCCGCTGTTTATGGACCGCATGAAATAAGTGAACAGAATAAAAATAAATCCATTCATGATCGTGCCATTATTAATTGTCAATATTCAATGGCAACATTCAGTACATCGGAAAGAAAATCCCGGCCACGTGGTGATTTTCGTTCACAAGAAATTAATGCCTATTTAAATGAAATATTTGAAACAGTTATTATAACTGAACTTTATCCACATTCACAAATTGATATCTATTTGGAAGTTCTACAATCCGATGGTAGTAATTATAGTGCATGTGTTAATGCTGCATCATTAGCATTGATACATGCCGGTATTCCGATCAAAGATATTATCTGTTCATGTTCAGCCGGTTATTTTAATCAAATTTCATTAGTTGATCTAAATTATCTTGAAGAATCAATCCATTCCATTCCAACTATATGTATTGCTTTGCTGCCAAAATCAAAACAAACCGTTTCGATTGAATCAAATGGTAGAATTAATGTTGATTCATTGGAAAAAATGATCTCCGATGTAAGTGATGGTTGTCAACAAATATTGACGGTAATGAAAACTGTAACATCAAATTATATTAAAGAATTGAATGTTTAGCAAAAAGGGTTGAAAAAAATTATATTTTTTTTTGTTTAATCGTTATTACAATTAAAGTAATTATAAATGAAAATTGAAAAAATTACAAATTTTATAATTTTTTTTTGTTTGTTTTGAAAAGATTTATTTCGCGAGTGAGAGAGAGAAACGATAAAATCTATTTGCGTTCTTTTTCCTTCTTAGCCGCTTCAGCTTTTTGTGCTTCATCTTTTTCATACGATTTTATGTATTTGGTTATTTCGCTTGCTGGTAGCATACGAATTTTTGATTTACCATTTTCACGGGTAAGTGTAACGATTTCAACTATAGTGAAAGATGGAATAGAAAAACATTAATGGAATGTGGAAAACAACCCAGGTAACTTACTTTTATCTTCGGTCAATTTAGTTGTATCAAGTGTTTTGCTCAATACCCGTATGGTCAATTCTAATGCCTGTTTCAAATTAGTTTCACCTTCTTTATATTCTTGTTTCAATAATGCAACAGCAGCACTACTATTATTACCAATACAAGTTGCTTTCCAACCGGAATAATTACCACTTGGATCTGATTGATATAATTGAAATCCATAATGTTTATCCCAACCCATATACAGTACTGATACACCAAATGGTCGTTTACCACCATACTGGGTATATGCTTGTTTAATATCGCAAAGCCAACTAACAATACGTTCACATGGTATACTTTCACCATATTGTAATAAATGACGTTGAGCAATTAAACGTAATTCATTTGTTAAAACATTTGCATCCGATGTAATACCGGCAACACTACAAGCCATATCACTAACAAAGAAAGGGGAAGAAATAAACAAAAACAAAATCGAATGTCAGTCAGTCAATCATTAATGTGGGGGACACAAAAATTTACTCATAAAGTTTGTAGATTTTTTCCGAAGTAATAACATCATCAAGTAATTTATTCGGATTACGTTTTTCAGCAGCTAAAACAATACCATCAGATGCTAAAATACCAAGACAAGTACCAGCATGTTGAATTGCTTCCATTGCATATTCAACCTGATATAATCGACCTAAAAAATTAAAAATTGAGAAAATATTGTCAGAAATTTTGAACCGAAAAAAAAATTTTGATAAAAACCTTCAGGTGAAAAAATTGTTGTTCGAGAATCATAACGACGTGCCTAAATTTTATTGAAAAACAAGAATTAATTATGCAATCAACTTCAAAGAATCTTCAAAGAATTTAAAAAAAACAAACCATTTTGTTTTGAAAATTTCAAAGAGAAAATTTTAGTTTTTCAAAAAATGACAAGAAACAAAAAACGATGATCACATGAATCAGCAAATTAAGACTATTTCAACAGCCTGGCAAACAAAAATGACTATTTTAACATTTCGTAGAATGATTCGATTTTTTGGTCATAGTATTTATGAATGAAATTTTGAATTCGAACGCTTGAATACATTCGCGATATGTAAATGTTGTGTTATCATTCTTCTTTTTTTGATTATCCGTTGAGCACATTTGAAAATGATAACCGTTTCCGTTCAAACAACAACATTTGTCTGCCACACTTTGTTTCATGCAGTTTTTTTTCTATAATATCATTAAGGAAATTGTGATTATTTTCTATTATTAATAAAATTATATTCATATTTAACATTTGGTAGCAGAGCGTGGTTCTACGTTTCCCGCCTCTATCCTATCTTGTTTACATTTACTGTCATCGCCATTCATCTAACCTGATCTTACCTAACTTACTCCCAGATTACTCCCAGCGTAACAATCCTCATAGCTTCTCCTAGTTATAACTTTACAGTTCAGAATCTTATAAAAAAAACCCAGATCTTTTATTTTCTTATTTCCTTTTTTTCTTTTTCATTTTTTATATAATTTTCTTATATATTGTTCCATCAAGCGAAACATAATCAATTTGAAAAATTTTTGTATTATACGCTTTTTATAAACCTTGGCCAATGCCAAGGATTATTTTTGAAAGATCAATAAAGTTCACCTTTTACAAACGAAACAAAAACTCCCAGATTACTAATCGATCACCGAAAAACCGAGCGTCGACTATTTGGTCGCCGCAAAGACATTGACAATTCAAACAGCATGCGAGCAAACTATGCGGCGGTTTAGAAAAACAAGAAAAAAGTCACCGCACTGGGAAACCCCGGAGATCCATGCATCTTTGCAGAATCTCCGGCGGCAATTACCAATTGTAGGGACATTTTATACCAGAGTATTAGCAGAAACCATTGCTAACTTCAATCATCACATTAGCGAATATCTGGAACAAAACAATATAGAAGTCGACGACGTTATAATGCCTAAGTTTCTCAAAACTAATAGGAAAAGACCGGAAGAACTTGTTAATATAGCTTGCGAAGTCCACCCATATATTCGTGTTAGAACTATGACATCGTGTCACGTTCATTTAATCATGCGGTTTGATGATTGTATATAAAGACATACATTGATTGATGTCATTCGTCCTTTTGTTTTTATTTGTGTATGATGTGTGATGTGTTAATGTGCGATGAAGTTTTGATTTTAATTAAAATAAATAAAATATTGTTTTTATCATTGTTGGTCATTTTTACTTAACAATTCGCAATTTACTAATCAACGAGATGAACCAAAAAGTGATCATCGACTGGGACACCGTTCACGTTGAAGATCTTAACCGTCTTAAACAATGTCTAGGATTCAATCATCTATCACAAGTGTGTCAATTACATTTGATCGGCAACATTATAGTGCTATAGCAAAAAAAGTACTCCCCCCCTTCCTTAATTCAGCTCGCTTCGGATTAATTCGATAGCGGCCTAAGTTTTAAACAATTTGCAGGTCACTCCATCTCACTTCCCATCACTTGCAACAAAAAGAATCATCTTATCAAACTAAAAAAGCGGTTTTCGGATTACTTTCCAGATCTTGATACAAGTACTGTCAGTTGGATTGTAGATCCTTTTAAATTGCATTCAAATAGCTTTGACATCCAAAAGTAATACCAATTTTGAAGCAATCATTCTTAATTTAAAATTTTTTTTTCTTATTAATAAAATTATTTATTTATTTTTGTTTGCACTAACCCTTTGACAATACAATAAAGAAAGAAAATAATGAAAAAAAGGCAGAAAGAAAGAGAGAGATCAATCAACAAAATGAAATAATGAAATCAAAATAATAATAATCGATCAACAAAATAATGAAGAAAATCATAAAACGACGACGACCAATAATAATTTCCAAAAATTTTCTACAATTTCAGGGAAATTTCCAACCGGTGATCAAATATGGTCGGAAATCCAAATTTTTTTTCTTTTTGGCAGATTTCAATCAATTAGTTAGACAGGTAAGTTAATTAATTGGAAATATAGCTTAAAATCCATTGTTTAAATTTAGTAATACGTGTACAAACACCAGGTAATGATGGTTCACCACAACCAATACCCCAGGAAATAATACCAGCTAGAAACCAATGTCCATCTTCGGATTGTACTTGCAGTGGACCACCACTATCACCTTGACATGAATCATGACCACCAGCATCATAACCAGCACACATAAATATATCCGGTATATATTCATGACGGCCAGCCGATAAGAACATATTTTTACACCGGTCATTACTAATTATAGGGACACGAACTTCTTGTAATACTGTTGGTAAAACGCCACCTATAATTGATTGGAAATTGGAAAAAATCGATAATCAATCAATACAATTTTGGTTCATTGAAAAAAATCAATAAATAAATTTGTTATGACCTTCACTCAGTCTTCCCCAACCGGTAACAGTTGCATTTCGGCCTAACAGTTCAATATTATCGGGTGGTAAACAAATTGGTGATATATGTGGTAGAAAATCAATTGGTTGTTCCAATTGTACCAACGCCAGATCATTTTCATATGTAAAAAAATTATATTTTGGATGAACAATTTTTTGTTTAACACTACGTTCCAAATGTGGATATGGTTCACGTGAACTAGAAAAATCATATTCACCAACACGAATACGAATCTGGGTTAGTAATAAACTTAAAAAAAAATGAAACGAAAGAAAAGAGAAAATTTTATTGTCAGGATTTTTTGTTCGGTTTTTCGGTTATAAGAATGATGATGATGTTCCACTTGTTGTTGATGGCACGATTGATGACCTCGATCTTTTTTAATGAACTAAGAAAAGAAAAGTGCGAAAGTTTTTCATCATCAAATGATGATGATGGCCAGATTTTTCGTTCACACTTTTTAAATTTAAATCTGGAAAATCTTTTTTTTGGTTTTTGGCAGGGGAAAAAACAACGATAAACTTACTCATCAACACAATGACCGGCTGTTGCAATCCATTGATTATTTAATAATGCACCACCACAACGATGTGTACTTGAAAAACCAAAAAATGATATTCTTCTGACTGAAACCTATTTGAAATTGTTGTTGGTAAGATTTTGGGGACAAACGATAATAGCAACAACAATATAATAATTTTCTTCTTATTATAAAATTCAATTTGAAAAATAAGAAAATAACAATACCTGCCATGGCCATGCACCAAATGCTGAATTTTTACCACCAACAACTTTTGTTCTTGGTTTTAGTTGAGTGATTCCACATTGTTCAACTTTTTTCATTATTTTTCCAGGTAACATTCATAATGATAATTTGCGGCGGTAGCCGATAACCAAATTTTAAAGATAATTACAAAAAGAAAGATAAGAAAAAGAAGAAGAAAAAATTTCAATATTATTTAAATTAGTTTTATTTGACTTTTTTTTATAATTGATGATTACGGTTATTTTAATTATTCATTGGTAAATTACGTTTGCCATTCAATGATGATATTGTTGTTGTTGTTGTTATCGACGGCGTTGTTGTTGTTGTCGACGCTGTTGTTGTTGTTGTCGTTGATGATAATGGAATTGGTTCATTTGTTGTTGTTGTTGTTGTTGTTGTTGGAATTGATGAACTTTCCGATAAACTAATTATATTAGTGGCAGCAGTGTTATTATCAATATTGATTGAAATTGGATTCGATAATCCACTATATTGATCATTAGTCGATGAACTAGTTGCTGCTGTTGTGGAAGTAGCGGCTGTCAATGTCCAATGACCAATACCATTAGTTATAGGTTGATGATTTGTAATCGTTTGTAATGGTGGTGGTGGTTTAACAATATTCCACGACGAACTTGTATTCGAAGTAATCAAAGGTTTATTATTATTGACGATGATAATTGGCCATGTCGGTCGTTTGGTTGTTGTTATTGGAATGTTGTTGTTGTTGATATTTGGACGACCAGTATAAATAATCCATGGTTTTTGTGATGTTGTATATGATGGTTTATGATATGGATAATGGTGATGATGTGATGATGATAATGATGAGGATAATGTAACCGGAATTTCTGTTGTTATCGTTGAATTTATCCATGGTTTTTTTGTTGTTGTCGTTGTCGAAACGCCGGTTATGTTTGATTGATGGCTCCCGGGACGTAATTTATTCGTTGTTGTTGATGATATTGTTGTTGTTGTTGTTGAAGCGGATGTAACGGTAACAACAGGAATATCATTTGGTATAGAATTAATTTGATCATTATGACCACAACAGCTACCGAATAGAAAACCATCAGCACAAGTACCCAAATGTTTACCTTCAGTTTTAATACATTCCCAAACAAACATACAAGTTCCTTGTTCACCAATAGCATTTGAACATTGTTTTGGTCGTATTTTCAGACAATCACCTAATTTTGGAAAATGAAACAGTGAAAAACGGAAAATTCACATTATCAATCAATGAAAATGAAGACAAATTCAATCAATGAAACAAGGTGAAAATTTTTTCAAATTTAATCAACAAAAAATCCTTACCTATCCCTAATAATAAACTTAATAATAATGATAATTGTATTAAACATTTAAACAAACTAAATTTTGTTTGTTTGTTATTAATAATAAGCAGCATATAATCATCATAAATGTGATTTTGATCATCATCAATAATCATATCAAATGAATAGTATCGTTGTCGTTTATTGCAAAACATTGTTTTTAGGAATATAGAAAATGCTTCGGACTTGGATTGAAAAAAATTTGATTAGCACACACAATAAAAAAACAAGATTAAAACACTCTCACTTTATATACACACATTCACTTTATAACACAGATATACAGATAAGATTAAAAAGAAAATATATAACAACGAATAAACAAACAAACAAAAATCACATTTAAATATAGATCACAGATATTGATTGAATTCTGATGTTGTTTTTTTTAAATGTCCGATGTTTGTATTCTATGGTGATTAATTGCAAAAAAAAAACGAACGAACATCAACGTTAAAATGCCAAATAATAATAATATCTATTTATCATTGGATTTGGATTTGGAAAAAAATCGAATGATAAAATTTTGCTGTTGTTCGACTTTGTTGTTTGCAACTTTTTTTTCATTGTCCAATGACCATTATTATTGGCCATAATAATCTACAATTTTAGCTTCTTGATCTTCATTTTTTTTCTTTTTTTTTGTTGATTTTTAAACAATAGAAAAGAGATGAAACCAAAAAATAAGAAACAACAACGGCAAGAAATTCTGGCTAATTTTAGAATTGACACATTCATTCGATCAAGCTAAAGTTTCGGGCTGTTTTTGAATGTTTATTTAAAAAAAAATTTACAAAAAAATCAACTGAAACGAACAAACAAAAATAAAAATAAAACTTGTCTCATTTCAGTCTGAGAGAGAGAGAGAAAAAAAAAGTAAGAAATAGAGAGGTATATTTATTCATTTCTGGGCCATTTTTTTATTTTTGATTCAATTCAATTTTTAAATCATCATTCGCCTTGGTCATGGATTTTTTTTTTCCTGGCGAAGCCTACTTCTTGATAGAAAGAGAATGACAATCATTGAAGAAGAAGACGACCAGGTAAGAGAGAACGAAAAAAAAACGATAATGATTTCTCTATACAGACTAAATAATGGCCATGATCTTTATATTTAAAAAAAATATATCATCATTATCATTGAGCTGAAAATACAGGGGAGTATACCAATTTTTTCAACCAAAGAAATAAAAATATTTAAAAAAAATTGGCCGCATGGATGAATATCCTGTTTGACCGACTTTTTTCAAAAATTTAAATTTCTGGCCCTCTATATAGGATGATATAACAATCATTATAATGTGTGTATACTAAAAGAAACAAAAAAACAACATTATCAACAGGTTGGACATGAAATGAAAATGTAAGCCACATCGGGATAAAAACGCTATCTACCATTGTACAGACAGACATGTGTGTGTGTGTGTGCCATATTTTTTTTTTTTTTGGTCATTATTTTCAATGTTTGGATGTTTTTTAAAAGTTAAATTGAAATTTCGCCTAATCTTATTTGTTTGTTGTGTATTGTATAACAAAATATTAAATCAATATCAAATCGATACCATCATGGTATCGAAATAGTTCAATTTTAACACATGAGTGCTCGCATGGGGTAGATTTTTACCCCAGGCTCAATCAAATCGCTCCTACGCCGATTTCCTTGGAGCAATCCTGCCAGGACTCTAGGTATTCTTAATTCGAACTATTATCGATATTTTAAAAAAGTTCAAATGTCTAATTTCATCATTTTTCCCTTATTTATTCGCGATCGAAATCCAATGATTGTATATTTTTTCATATATAGCGTTATCATAGGATCACAAGTGTGGAATAGATCTCATCCAAAGTTGTAAAATTCATTTTTTATTTTTCAAAGCTTATCTTCAATCATTTANCATTTTCAATGAAAAATAATAATGTCTTATGTTGTTACGAGTCGATTCGAACGCATTGGATATTCGTCTTGTATTCGCGCTAAAATCTTAGGAAAATTATATATAAGATCCAAAATTTTAATTAAAATGAATAAAATATGGATGAGAAAATATGGATAAAATGAATAAAATGAAAAAAAATATTTTTCAATGTCCATATTTTAAAAAATTAGTCTGGGGTAAAAAAATACCCCACGCGAGCACTAACGTGAGAAATCGGTGCGCGAGCACTCATGTGTTAAAAAAGAATAGAAGAATAATAGAAAAGAAGATTATCGATCATCGATCATCATTGTTATGTTCTGGCAATTTAAAACCGAATGAAAATTATCAAATATAGGACACTTCCAATTAAATTCCAATTTCAATTCTATTCTAGTTCTATAGTTTTTCTTTAGCTAATTCCGTAGTGTAATTCATTTCAATGTTCCATTGTATACAATGGCCAATCGTTACACAGGATAATAGGTTTAGGGTTTAGGTTATGAGAATTATTGCTTTTCTATTTACCACAATGGCAATAACAATAATCAAATGGCCATTTAAAATTGAATGGAGAAGAATATTTGCCAAATGAAAAAAGAGCTCGGCTGTCCGGGATATCATCATCATCATCTCTATATGTATGCTATTGCATTGTTGTTGTTGGGCTGGTTGTTTACTGCTGCCAGTTGTATGTGAAATAGAAAATCCTATTGAAAAAACCATAAAACAGAAAAACAGTGAGCAATTTGCTGTTGTTGTTGTGGTTTTCATTTATCCTATCATATTATCATTCCAAATTATCCATATTATCTCCATCCATCCATCAATCATATCAAAGTTTTTTGTTGTTTTGGTTGTTGTTGTTATTGAACTAATAGATTTTATTCTGTGTAATCCTAAAAAAATGATGGAAAAAGAATTTCCCGAATTAAAAAATGATACAATAATTCGACAAGCATTTGGTAAAAAAACATCATACATACCGGTATGGGTAATGCGTCAAGCAGGTAGATATTTACCGGAATTTCGTGAATTTCGTCAACATCATAGTTTTTTTGATATTTGTGAAACACCTGAGCTAGCATGTGAAGCAACAATGTTACCAATACGTCGTTATCCATCATTAGATGCTGCAATTATTTTCTCCGATATTTTAGTCATTCCAAAAGCCTTAGGTATGGATGTACAAATGGTTGAAGGTATTGGACCGGTTGTTGATGCATTAGAACAACCATCACAAATTAAAACCAAAATCCACGTTGATAATAATATCGACAGCGAATTAGATTATCTTTATAAAGCCATTACATTAACTCGTCATACATTGGAAGGAAAAGTACCATTGATTGGTTTTGCTGGTGGCCCATTTACATTAATGTCATATATGATCGAAGGACAAGGTTCAAAAACAATGTCCAAAGTTAAACGTTGGTTTTATCAAAATCCAATCGAAAGTCATGAATTATTAGATATTCTAACCAAAGCTATAATTCAATCACTTGTTGGTCAAGTGAAAGCAGGTGCACAAATGTTACAAGTTTTTGAATCACATGCCGGTTATCTTGGACCTCGGCAATTTGATGAATTTTGTTTACCATATTTAAATCGTATTAGTTATGGTGTAAAAGAACAATTACGTGAACAAAATCTTGATACTAATGATGTACCAATGATATTATTTGCAAAAGGTGCACATTATGCATTGGATAAAATGTGCGATACAACCTGCCATCAATATAATGTTATTGGTTTGGATTGGACTATTGATGCTGATCGTGCTAAAACAGCCTCGAATGGTCGAGTAACATTACAAGGAAATCTTGACCCATGTGCATTATATTCAAATCAAGATGATTTAGATTATTTAGTCGAACAAATGGTACAAGAATTTGGTAATGAACGTTATATTGCTAATCTTGGACATGGTATTTATCCAGATGTTAAATGGGAAAATGTTGCTACATTTGTTAATGCTGTACATAAATATTCTAAAATTCACAGTAATAAATAACACCAAAAAAAACGCAAAAACAACAAACAAAACAATGCAAAACGCAACAAAACAAAATGATCAACTAACAGATACAAAATGTAATCAATGTTTCCATTTTTATTTTTTATATTCATACAAAAATGCAATTAAAAAAAATTTGATTTTCCCATTAAAAAATTGGTCTATTATAAGGATGAACAATGATTTGTTTAGTTCCTGGACCAACTTTAATACCGTTTGGTAATGTAATCCAATCAGTTGTTTCCATTACAGTCATCATTGGTCGTTTTGGTGGTGGTGATGGTGGTGGTGAATAACTTGGTTCAATATTATTATTATCCGAATATAATCTGGGATAGGTAATATAATCACTTGATATTGATGATGATATATTATTTGTTGTTATTACTTCGATTGGTTTTGAATCAATTTGATTTGAAGGAAATTTTTCTTCAGCAACAATTTCATCATCATCATCATTATTTTCTTGTTTAATATGGCTAATATCATCACCACCAGTAACATCACCATTTTCGTTGTTTGATTCCTGATTGAAAATCGAAAAAAATGATGAGAATTTTGTTCAAATCAAAAAAAACCAACTTACTTTTTTTGTTTCATCCAAAATTTCTTGTTTTATACAATCGACATTGTTCGACATTTCACCAAATCTATTTGTTTTAATTAAACGATAACCATAATTTGATGCCCATTTAGTCAACTGTTCTTGATTATAATCATAACTATTAAACATACGATAATAAGCACTAAAATGTGATGCTAAATGTAATTCATTATCATCATTAATACACGGGAAACCAGAATCATAATAATATTGATAATAATGATCATAATCATGATTCATATTTAATTTTATTGGTTGACATGAATCAATTTGTTGTTTGATTGATTCTTGATTACCATCATTTTCTTTCGGTGTACTTGATGTTGTTTGACTCACTGCTGATCTTGATTCACATTCATCCAAACGATGATATGATTCAAATTTTGGTAGCAAATCTACCAATTCATTTTTTAATTTTTGATTTATTGAAAATTGTATGATTGGTTCGGATTTTGTATACAGCAGCATTTCGGCGGGCCAATCTTGTTGATTTTCAACAATGTTTTCCGAAGTTTCTAAATCTGGAGATTGTTCTTTATTCAAATCTACATTATCATCACCATCATCATTGTTTAAATGCTTGGATTTGGATTTTTTCACTGTTGATGATTTTTCTTCATGTTTTTTCGAAAGTTTACGTTTTTTTGATTGTATTTTTTTTGATTGTTTTTGTTTCACTGTTCGTTTCTTGTTTTTCTTTAAATCTTTTGATTTTTTCTTTTTATTTTTCGATTTGCTACATTTTTTACGTCTTTTCAAACTAGTTGAACTGCTACTTGCATTCGAATTTGATTCAGAATCTGAGGATGAAGAATTTGATTCTGAATCCGAAGAAGACGACGAAGACGATGTTGATGAGGATGATGAATGACTTGATGAACTCGATGACGACGATGATGAAGAACGAGATTCTGATTCATCAGAACTTGAATCCGATGAAGATGTTGATGAGGATGATGACGAAGATGAAGCTGATTTCTTAGAACGTTTTTTATTCTTTTTATTTTTATTTTTTACATTTTTCTTTCGTGATTTTTTAGCGGATTTTTTCCCATTCGAACGTTTGACAGGTGATGATTCATCATCATCATCATCATCATTGATAACTTTTTTCTTCTTTTTCTTTTTCGCTTTTTTTGATAATTTTTTTCGATTTTTTCTCACAGAATCATTCTGATCTTCTAAATCACTTCGTATTTCACCTTCTTCTCTAGATGAATTCATCAGGGCTTTTGAATCATCATCGGAATCCGAATCTGAATCGTTAGCAGTTTTATTACGTTTTGTTTGATCATCTGATTTTGTGTTGTTTGCCGTAACGTCAGTCGCCAACGATGTCGAACCCAACGTATTGAATGTATTAACAAATTTAGGAATTTTTACTGGAATTTGTTTTTTCATTTCAGGTGCAACAATACAGGTTTTCGGAAATGCTTCCATCATACGTTTTTCTTCCAACATATCCAAAAATGATTTGGCCGATTGTTTTGCACTATTTTTTATATCCGATGGTTTAAGTGTTGGGATTTTTTCCTGGTTATTACCATTATCACCTTTCAAATCGTTACCAATCTGTTTGTTATCGGAATTTTTTCGAACATCATTCGATGGTGATGAATGTTGAGAATCTGTTGGTGATGGTGAATAATTTCTTCGTTGACGATAATTATTTTGACGATGAAATCGACGATTACGATTAAAACCAGAATGATTATCAAAACGATCATTATTTTGATTATGATTACGATGATGAAATTTCGAAAATTGTTGTCGATTTCGATTTCGAAAATCAATCCGTCGTCGATTATCCGAATAACGTTGACGTGGTGATCGTGATCTTGATTTCGAACGTTTTTGATCGACATGTTTTTTAACATTATTATTCATCGATGTTTTTGTTGAATCATTTTGTTGTTGAGAATTATTATTATTATGTTTTTCAATCGGTTCGGCTGATGATGATCGATAACGTATCGAACTAGAATTTGATCGTGACCGAGATGATCGATATTCACCTTCGGAACCTATTGGTAAAAAAATCCATAAAACATTCAAAAATCAACAACATTTCGAACATACCTGGATCATCATCTTTGCTGTTTGGATTCTTTTGAATCGTTTGATTATCAACATTATTCGAATCAATTTGTTTATCGGGAACCACTACATCTTCCGCTGGTTTTGAAGTCATTATCAATAAGAAAATTTAACTGATTTTTTTTGTCAGATTAAAATAAAACTCATTGAGAAGCATTTGTTCATCGATGATGACACAAATCTGTGTGTGAAATTCTGTTTGGATTTTGATTTGTTTTTTGCATTCCCCAAAAAAAATCCATTCATAAACAACGTATTTCGAGGAATTCTTTGAATTCAAAAAAACAGAATTGCGAAACACCAACAAAAAATTATTATTATTTCTTAAATTAAATGGAAAAAAAATTAACGAAAAATTATTATTTTCTCGGTCGACTTGTATCGATCATCATCATCTTGGAAGATCGAAAATTAGCGAACAAATTGGATCGAAACAAGTGGAAAAACCTTATTATTATCGGTTATTTTTACAAATAATAATTTTATTCATAAAATGAGACAACAGAATTACAAAAAAAACATTTTTACTAATAATCATCATCATTTAATTATAATAATTAAATTTATACAAAAGGAATTTGAATGAATGAATGGAAGAAGAACGAAAAAATCTATTTCCGAAATGAATGCAAATGCAAAACAAGCGAAAAACAAAAACAAAACAAAACGAAGAAACAAACGATAGAATAATGAATATTGACAATACTGACATTCTCATTAACAATTTAGGAGTAAAAATTATTGCTGCTCCAAGTAGTGCATATCTTATTTTTTTTGGTCAATATTTCGGTTCTTTGGTTTCTCTGGTTATTCTGTTGTTGTTTGGTTGGTTGGTTGGTTGGTGGTGGATGATGACCGATAAAAACGAAAAAACTTCATTCAAAATGAAAATGTTCTGGTTTTATAAAATTCGCTTGTCAAAAAATCAGAAAAATGAAGCAATTTTTGAACTCAAAAAAAAATCTGTAAATCTTTTTTGTTTTTTTGGAGCCAAAAAAAAACGGTAGAATCCGACCAATGACAACATGAAACCTTTTTTTACCTGAAAATAGATTTTTCGGGTAACTTTTTTTTCTGGTTGTTTGGTTGTTGTTTTTTCTTTAGTTGCCAAACATTTAATTGCAATGAATTTTATTGATTGTTTGTGGGTGGTTAGTTTTTTTTCCCTCGCAGGTACTACCTGCCTACCTGGCAGAAACAAAAAAGTGACGCCACAATTTTTTTTCGAGTCAAGGTAGAAGTTTTTTTTTTCTTTTTTGGTAACCAAAAAAAAGAAAAAAATCGGTCGAATATAGAGAGATCTTTTTTGGAACAACCAACCGAACGACGACGACGACGACTTGACAAGTATAGTAGGTTTGACGTGAAACCAAAAACCAAAAAATTCAGGGAGTCGAAAGAATCAAGAAGAAAAAGAGATACTATTTAGTGGAACGAAGAAGGAGAAGAAACCAAGAAAAATAAAAAACGCTTGAAACATTTGAAAATTTTGGTTGATTTGACCCGGATCCAGTGTGGATAAAGAAAAATTCATTCATCAAAATCAAAATCAAAATCATCATGTTCTTTAGCTCAATTCGAAACATTTTAATTACTGATCATCATTCGTTTGATTCTTTTCCTTTTTGATTTTTGATTCCAAAGTTACCTGTGAGGCCTTATATAACATCATTATCATCATCAATAAAGTTTTCTGCCAAAACAAAACAAACAAAAAATGTGTTTTCCTTTATTCATCGCTACAATTATTAATTTATGATCAATCAATCAATCAATCGATCAAACAAGCACCTTTGAGTGATTTTTGTGTTAATTTTTTTTGTTTGCTTGTTGACCATTTGACAAATCAATCAATCAATCAATCAAAAATGATTGGAATATGGAAATTAATATCAAATATTTTAACATTAATAATATCGGTTAATATTATTGAAACTAAATTAACTAATTATGATAAAATTGGGTAAATTAAGGGTTAAGATTTTCTATAATCAATCATTTTTTTTAACCATTCGTTCACCAATCGGTCATTTTTTTCTTTGTTTTTAGACAACATTATAATCTAACTGATAAACAAATATTGGATGAAATAATTATACCGGAAAAATATGATTATCGTATGAGACCTGAAGGTTTGTTTATTTATTTTACCTGTGGTGTGTGTGTGCTTAAGTGTTAATGTAATTTGTAATTATATAGAAAAAACTATTGTAAATTTATCAATATTAATATTAACATTATCATCACCGGATGAATCAAGTGTTACATATGAAATTGGTTTTGTATTGATGCAACAATGGTATGATCCACGTTTACGTTTTGAATTACCAAAAATATTACAAAAATCAAGTGAATCAAATTCTATTTATTTGAATGGTTTGAAACATGCTGATCGTATTTGGATACCGGATACTTATTTTATAAAACATGGTGAATTTCGTGAACAAACTGATCAATTTGATCCATTACATATAACATTGAAAATATTTCCAAATGGAACGGTTCTGTATACTACACGTCGTAATATGGTGTTAACTTGTGAAGGTAATCTACGTATATTTCCATTTGATAGTCCCAAATGTTTTTTCGGTATCGAAAGCTGTAAGTGTTGATTTTTTTTTGTTCAATTCTTTAATTGTTTTAACCCCTGATTTTCCCATAGTATCACATGAAAAAGATCAAATACGTTTACAATGGGATGATAAAGTGCCTATAAAAACATCCGATTCATTAAAAACAATTAATGCATATATGATACGTAATGAAACTAATCGTTGTAATAAAAGACATTCATGGCGTAGAGAATTTAGCTGTTTAAGTGTATTATTAGTATTTTCACGTGATCAATCATTTTATTTTTCAACCGTTTTCGTACCGGGTATGGTTTTAGTAACAAGTTCATTTATTAGTTTTTGGTTGGATGTTAATGCCGTACCAGCACGTGTTATGATCGGTGTAACGACTATGTTAAATTTTTGTACAACAACCAATAGTTTTCGTTCAAAATTACCTGTTGTTTCGAATTTGAATGCAATGAATCTATGGGATTTTGTTTGCATGTTTTTTATCTATGCATCAATGATTGAATTTATAATTGTTAATTATATTTATCGTAAAGGTAATCAACAACAACAACAACAACAAAAACAACAACAACAACAATCACGAACAACAATGCAACAACAACAACAACAATCAAGACATAATAGTTTTACAAAACACGATTTTAATTTTCGTAATAAGGTAAGCCCAGAAAGAAAATTAAGGGTTAAAATGAATTCTTTTTTAACCCGTTATTTTCTCGTAGAGTATTCGAAGTATTTGTAGCCGTGCACCAGCCGCACCACCACCACCACCAATACCAGTAGAATCATCATCGATAAACATAATGGATATGCCAAAAAGAAAATTTCGTCGTCAACAAACAACCGAATTGGATATACGTTTGGCTAAAAGTGGTAATTTTGCTACTTCACAAACTAAAACAACAACAACAGGTAGTACAGAGGCAACATCATCTGGTTTAGTAATGACAACAACCGGAACCGGTACTGATACTGGTTCTGAAAGTGAATCAATTGATCATCATCATCATCATCACCATCATCAACAACATCAACGTTCAACAGCAGCAACAACCGGAATACCAAATCAATCATATCGTGTTCGTTTAACCAATACTAATCTAACCAATACGAATAATATTATGCAACCAACATTATCCGAAGAACAAGAATTATCGGAAAAATTATCCGTACAACAAATGAAAAATATTGTTATGGAATGGATCCGTCGACCATATCTGTTTACAGCCAATGAACAATATAGTAGTAATGAACAATTAGCTCGTTCGATTGATCATATATCCAAAACAATTTTTACATTAACATTTAGTTTATTTTCATTTTTTTATTTTCTTACATATGCATTTATTAAACCATCACAATTAGATGATTGGATTGAAAAAGAATTTGAATCATCTGATTGGTGATTGGTGATTTTGTTTTGATCAAAAAATATTTTTAGTTTTTAAAAAAATTTTTATCAAATGTTTTAAATTAAACCAAAAATTTACCTTGAAAATTTCTTGTTTTTCTTCTGCTTATATCCGCTGGATGGAAGCAGTTTTTTTTTATTGCAATCATCACCCTCACCATTCATTCAGTGTTAAAAAAAAAATTGATATTCAACAGACAGCAAAAACAAATCAAACAAACAGGGTAGCAGCCAGTATTCAATAAGCAACAGCAGAAAGCAGCTGAAAAGAAAAATTTAATTCTGCCCTGAAGGAAGGAACAACAACAAAACGAAACGAATCGAATTGAATCGTGTCCTGCGCTCACTTCTCCCATCAGCATTCCAAGCAACAAAAAAAAAAACAAAAACATTCAAGGTCCGAAGGTTATTATCGCGATAATAACGACGAAACGAAAATTAAAAACCTGAAATTCTTCATTGGAAAAATCCCGGATCCGGTTATTATTGCTGCCTGATAATTGGAATTTTTTTGCTTGAAATTTTTTTCAGAAATCAAAACAAAACAAAAAAATCGAAAACAAAAATGAATATATCCTGTATATCTGTGTGTGTGTGTAACTTTGGATTAATAAAGAAAAAATATCTCAAACCACTGTCGGTAACCACCGCCTTACCGTCACACACACTACTACCGCTGCCGCTCGATCAAATCAACCAACCAACCAACCGACAGTGTGATCCTGATATACCACACACAAGCCATACACACACACTAACTACTTCTTCTTCTTGTCCAATGTTGTTGGTTGGTTATAATCGCGAACGCACAACATTGGAAACAAAGACCAAACAAACACACCGTTGTTCCGTTCATAAATACTATGATCAAAAGCATGCATGCTGTGTTCGATTTTGGAATCAACAGCAAAGCCACGCCTGTTTAGTATCTATTTTAAATTAGAAAAAAATTTCGCTCAAAGGCGTGGCCTATAATCGAATACAAAATTCGAGCTCTTTTTCCGTTGGTGGTGCAAAATTGTAAAAAAAAAAAAAACATTCCAGTTTCCTTTTGTTTTGATGTGCTCTTCTTTTGTTGGTTGGTTGTTCTTGTTTGGTTGGTGTGTGTGTGTGTATGAGTTCCATATCCTGATTTCATTTTAGCTAAAAAAATTATCATTTCGAAATTGATTGGTCATTATTAATCATCTAATTCTCCTCTTGTGTGTTTATCAGTTCAAACAGTTCCGTTCGGCGAACAAAAGCGAAAACGAACAAAACATTCAAACTCCTCTCTCTCTCCTTTTTTTGGAGGGTTTTTTTTCGTTGCTCAAATCGTTCGATTTCGATTTTGGTTTTCATTTTCAATTTCTATACATCCAACAGGTATGTTTTGGTTAGATTAGAATTTTCTGCAAAAAAAAAAAAAAAATCATCATTGTTATTGTCAGTGTCAGTCAGCCAATGGTGTGTGTGTGAGTGTATGGAAGACTTCTCATCATAACAAAAACAACGTGCGCTTCTATTTATTGTGTGTGAATACTTTTTATATATGACAACAATAAATATTCATTATTCTCGACTTGACATTCAAGAATTTAATGATTAAATTTCAACATTGACAATTTGTTTGTGTTTACGTTTGTTTTTGATGTAAAAACAACAACGAAAAGAAATTGAAACATCAATTTTGTAACAATGATGACTATGGATCATCATCATCATCATCATAATCATCATTCGATAAATCATATACAAATGAATGCTATGGATATATCGGAAACTTATCAGGCAACAAATTCAATACAACTTCGTACACATCCAACACATGCAACAATAAATTTTAGTGAATTGGGTAAAAAATTATTAGAATCAGCACGTAATGGTGATACTGAAGATGTTGTTGAATTAATAAATTGTGGTGCACCATTCACTACGGATTGGTTGGGTGCATCACCATTACATTATGCAGCTCAATATGGTCATGTTGATACTGTTCAAACATTATTACGTTCAGGTATTGCTAAAGATGCACGAACAAAAATTGATCGTACAGCATTACATGTTGCATCACAAGAAGGATATTTTGAAACAGTTACTGTTTTGATAAATTTTGGTTGCGATGTTGATGCAAAAGATATGCTCAAAATGACACCATTACATTGGGCTGTTCAACGTGGTCATCGACAAATTGTTGAATTATTATTGAATTCAGGTGCCGATGTTAAAATTATCAATAAATTTGATAAAACACCAATCGATGTTGCTTATAGTTGTGGCCATGATGATTATGTGCCTTTATTAAAAGTAAGTTTCAATTTTGCTTTCGAAGAATAATGTTTAATCATTTGATTTTCTGTGTAAAGAGTTTCCTAGGCAAAGCTAAACCGAAAATAAATCCCATCGATAATTCTATACAAGTAAATCGTATGAAAAATCAGGCAAAAGCTCGATCAAAATTGTCGATTAATACAGTAAGAAATTCACAAAAATCATTACCACATCATCAATTGGTTAAACAAGAAATTGATGAAGATTTTGGTGAAATTCGACATTTATCAACTTCCATGGATGGTTCAACTAATGCATCTGCTGCTGCTGCTGCTGCCAATTCAAATAAAAATCAAATCATTATTACCAAAAGAACAAGTTTAGATAGTAGCCAATTACAAAATGGAAGCCAAACATTACAACAAACGGCAGCCGGTAAACTAATCGTAAATAATACCTCCATAACAAGTCTTGGCAATAATTCAAATGCTAAAAAATTATATACTATAAATTCACAAAATTCCAATATTTTATTGCTATCATCACCGAATAGTGGTTCAAGTAATAGCAACAAATTAAATGATGGTACTATTGGAACATCAAGCGGTCCAATAAAATTAATGACAACAGTTGGTTCGAATAAAAAGCCTGTGTTTACTGAAATAAAAGATGCAAAATCATTGGAAAAATTTCAATTCTTTAATTCATCAAATAAAACAGGTTCACAACCTGTTATCAAACGTTTTGTGATCAACAATCCAAATCAAACAAATTCCACTGTTATACAGGAAAAAGATGCCGAAATTGCCAAATTAAAAGATGAAAATGGAAAATTGAAAAAAGAATTGGAAGAAATTCGTTCATTAATCATATCAAAAGATTTGGAAATTGAGCGGCTAAAAAAATTAAAAACATCAAACAATAATAATAATCATTCGATTGGTGAAAAAGAAGAATCAATTAACCATCATCAGCCAACACCACCATCAAATTCACCACCACCAACACTTGATCTTGACGATGATGAACAATTGGATTGATTAAAGTTAACGAAAGAAACATTGAATTGCCATTCATTTTAATTATTATCATCATCATCCAGACAACAACCACACCATCAAATTGGTGATCATTCACAATTAAACATTTAACATTCGTCATCATTATCATCTCACATTTAATCGAGTAATTTTGTTAATTTGAGCATATTATCATTAATTTTTTTTCTGTTTGTAAACAAAAACAAAACAAAATATTTTTTCTAAAAAACAAAACAAAAAAGAATATATATTCTAATAGTATTTTTTCTCTTTCAGGACATATTTTCATCTTTGAGATTTTTGAAAATTATTCTTCTCTGTTCTTATTATATTTTTTCTTCTCTCTTTTCCTGTCTTCATCGTCATCAACATCTTGATGCATACTAAATGTTATTTGAATTTTGATTTCTGGAATTTGTAAATAATTCAATAATGATGATCATCAGTCAACACACACACACAAACATTCAACAAATGAATCGCAAAAGAATTTTTTCGTTTTTTTTCACTCGTTAAATTGTAAATAATTTTTTTTTTGCATCATTCGTGCTATTCAAAACATTCATCAATTTTAATTTTTTCAAAAAAGAAACAAGGCTGGTAAACAAACACATTGATATTGATTGATTTTTTTCCCGTTCTTTGAATTGTTGTTTCATTTAACCCTTTCATTTCATTCATTCAATTTTTTTGTTTTTAACCCGTATAATTCTTTTTTTCTCACTTTCAAAGCAGCAGCAACTTTCCGTTTAGGATTATTTTTCATTTCATTTTCATTTTCTCTCCATAAACCTTACACCTTGATTTTTTTTTCTCTCCTTTTGTCAATTTTATCGATCCCAATTTGTGTTTCAGGGTTATCACCATATCCATCATTCAATCAATCACACACTGTGTTTATTTTTGATGATTAAATAAATAAAAAAAATGTTTAATTTTTTCATAAAAAAAATTACCCGCTTAATTTTTTTCATTTTTTAAATCACGTTGTTTGTTCTCTGATCAATTGATACTTAAGTATTTTTTTTGTTCATGCGCATGCGCATTTCAAACGATTAAAGCCGTTTGCACATTATCCATTGTCTGTTTTTTCCACAGTGTGTGTGTGTGTGTTTGTGATACACATTTTTTCGGTTTTTGGGGTTTCGCGATCTCTCGGCTTTTGTGTGGTTGACTGCTGTGTGTATGAATAATGGTGGTGCGTGAGTCGAACAGAAAAATCTGGCGAAAAAGAAAACTAAATTGTTAATTGTTAATTGTGTTCAATCAGCCTGACTGCTTGCCTGCCTGCCTGCCTGACAACGATCGATAGTTTAATTTTTCCTGCTGCTGTTGTTAGAGTGACTTTGTGTATGAATGTGTGTGGCCATAATCGAAATCGAGCCCGAACATGCTTTAATTGACATTTTCGCTTTTGTTTTTGTTTCGTGTGTGGATCAGAAAAAAAAGAAAGAAAATCTTATCCAAAACAACAACATTGATTGATTTATTGATTTCGAAGAATATTCTATTGTCATTTTGATTTTTTACATCACTGAATTTTATTACTTAAAGTACAAATGCGTCAATCAAACAATAATCTGGAATCTACCACCACCACAACTGAAATGGGAACCGAATTACAATACTCAAATTCAGAAATTCATAATGGTCAAAATGGATCGGCAACGAATAATACCACCGCAACTAATACCAGTACCGGTTCAACAAAACCAATAATCGAACGTGGTGCATCATGGGCATTTGGTGAAACAAAATTATTATTAGCACTTTGGAGCCAGGATATGGTACAACGACAATTAACCAATTCAAAACGTACAAGACATGTATGGGAAAAAATTGCCGAACGTATTCGTGAACATGGTTATGATCGTACTGCTGGTAAGTCGTCGGTTGGATTGATTGATTGAAACGTTGATTAATTTTGCGATTTTTTTTCACTTTAACAAGATCAAGTACGAACACGTGTATTCAATATGATTGCCGAATATCGTCGGATAATGAAAAATCCAACACCTGAACGACGAAAAAAATGTATATTTTTCGATGCAATACATCGAATTTATCAGGCAAAAGATACAAATAGTCTGGAAAATGTTATATTAACAATGGGCTATATGATGGATAATCAATCGGGAAATATTTGTAGTATTACAAATGATCAATATAATTTTGATCCATTAGATTTTAGTAATATTGGTGGTAATGGTGGTGGTGGTGATAGTATTGATCAAGCTGATGGTGATGGTTCAAATGGTGATGATCAAAATAATAATAGTGGTTCCGATTCTGATGAACGTAATAATGAATTATTAGTATTTCCATTATCACCAAATTCATATGTAGCAGCTAATGATGTTGATGATGATACCAATTTTAATTATGATGGTATGTTATTGATTTGATTTGAATTCTTTAAATCAGAAAAATAAGTTTAATCATTGTTTTTTTTTCAACAGAATCAACATTTGTACCTCATTCAAAAAGATTTCGTTCAAATCCAGATACTACTAATGGTCAACATCATTATCCAACAACAAATAACCATCATCATCATAATCAGAATAATCAACAGCATAATAATCATTATAATAATCCTCATTTATCATCATCAATGCCATTGGATCAATCAGCATCAGCATTATTAATTGATCGAATGTTTTCACATCTTTCGAAAGAAACTGAAGTAATGCGTGAATGGGTAAATTTGGAACGTGAAAGATTAGCACAAGAAGTTGCTCGTCGTAAAGAGGAAAAAGATCGTGAAGAACGTCGTGAAAAAATATTTTTAGATGTTTTAAATAAATTACAGGAACGTATATTTAGTGTACTTAAACATCATGAACAACAATCAACAATGAAACAATCAAGGGATCAGGAAAAATCTCAATCAAATGAACCAACACAAACACCTACTTCATCCTCATCATCAACGTCTTCATCATCCAATAATCAGACTGATAAATAAAACAAAAACAAAACAAATGATGTAATGCGACATTGTTTGTTTTGTTTTGTGGTTTTTTTCTTTTCATTCCTTTTTTTTAAAAAAAATCAAAAATTGCATTCGATTCTTTTTTTCTTTTCTTTTCTTTTTTGATAATAAAAACAAAAAGCATTTTAGCAAATTGAACAAAAAAAATTTTCTGCCATTCGTTTTCGTTTTTTTTCTAAAAAGCTAGCGGTAAATGAATTCGAATATCTTCGAATTACCGAAACTAAAATTATTATATCTGGGCCGGGCGGATTGATGGATGATGTTCATCATCGCATACTCCGCCCATTAATTAGTTGCCAAATTTGGAATACGAATTATCATCATCAACAAACCAACAACATATGCATCTTGGTTATTTTTGAAGAAAGCGAAAGTTAGAGAGAGTTAGAGCGAACGGAGAGAATTGTTTGTAGCATCCATTTATCACAACAACAACGAAAAAAAAATGTATGCCACCCGTACTTGTGTTTTAAAGATGATGTTTGAGTAAATTTCGGTCGAAAAAAATAAAATGTTATTTTGCATAATTCTCGAGCATCTTCTCTGTGTATGAAGTGTTGAGTTTGTGTTTTGGTATTTTCATTTTCGTTTTGCTGGATTTTTTTTTGACAATATTCCTTCAACCTGTTGTTTGTTTGGATTTTATCATTTTTCTTTTTTTTTTGGTTTTTGCTAATCAGCTGATCAACAAACAAACCAAACAAAGTAAAATGACATTAGGTAAATCTTGTTTACATCCATGTCATGGAAACAGTAATCGTAATAAAAATGATAAGATTATTGTCAAACGTATTGATGATACACATGAAGAATTACATATGCCTGATAAAGGTATTGAATCATTGCATAAAATGCCCTATATTTGTAAGTTTTGTAATTTTGTTTTTACCTGAAAATATTTTAAAAAAAAACTTTATATTTTTTTTTTCTCAAGTCGATTTGGTAAATCTTCGATCCATCACACTAAGTCATAATAAAATTAGAGGTAAGATTTACATTAATTAAACCAAGATGATTTTTATCAAGGTAATTTTGTTTTGTTTTTTTTTTCGTAAACAGTATTATCACCTGAAATTGATAAACTATACAATTTAGAATCATTAAATCTATTCAATAATTATATTTCTGAATTACCAATTACAATTTGTAATTTGGAAAAATTAAAATGTTTAAATATTGGTATGAATAATCTTCATACAATACCGAATGGTATTGAACGTTTGCAACAATTGGAAATATTGGATTTATCGTATAATTTTCTTACCGAACATTCATTTTCAACAGAATTTTTTACTTTAGGTAAGGGGGAAACAACAGGCAATACTTTTTTTCGAGAAAAAATTCATTCTGTTTTTGTTGTTGTTACAGAAAATTTACGTGCATTATATCTATCGGATAATGATATGGAAATATTATCTGGAGAAATTGGAAATTTAAAAAATTTACAAATTGTAAGTTTTTCGTCATTGTCGTTTTACATAATTACCTTCATTGATTTTACCATTTTTTCAGCTTGCTATTCGAGATAATCATCTGATATCAATACCGGAAGAATTGATTCTTCTTCAACGCTTACGTGAATTACTTATTCAAAATAATCGAATAAAGTTTGTAAATCTTTGAATCATTAACAAATTTTGTAAATATTTCTTGTTTTTAACAAAATAGAATGCTTCCACCCGAATTGGGTAATATGGATTTTAATTCACCACGTTGCCAAATACGAATGGAAGGAAATCCATTCGAACCGGATTTAAGTGATCAATTACAATTAGGTGTATCACATGTTTTGGATTATATTCGTAGTGATATTTATCGATCGTAAGATAATTTTCTTCTCGTTATTCTTTTTTTCCGTTTTAACATTATTGTTTTTCAATTTAAAAAAATAGACGTTATTCACGATACACAATGAATCCCGGTTCACCACCACCAAAAAATGAAGAACGTTATCAACGTAAACTTTTACGTTTGAAAGGAAAATGAATTGATGAATGAGGAATGGAATTTCGGTTCGAAAATTCAATCAAAAATCCAAAAAGATTTGCCAAAACAACCAGCCAGTCAGCCACAACAAGTGCCATAAATAATCCTTTTTTTTGCAGCTAAATAATCAAACAAAAATATTACTCTTTGCAATATTAGATTATCAATCGATTAAATACTTGTTTTTTTCTTTGCTTTAAAAAAATTACAATTTTTTCAATTAAAAATGAAACAAAAAAATCTTTTAATTCGAACAGAATTTTTCAAGATTCGAATGAGCGCATGTATTCTCTGGATGGTTCCTTCGCGAATCAACGTTTTTCTGTGTGTTTGGTTGGTTTGCTATTAAAACACAATGGGTTTCTTCTATTTGACGCGTCACTGTTATTGATTTTCGGTATTTTCGTTTTAACCATCAAATCGTTTTTGGCGTGTATGGTTGCCAATTTTATCAATTGATTGATTGATTGATTTTTTTTAGGGAAAACTTTGATCGTTTCAATTTAGGATTTTGTAAAGAAAAACATTTTTTTTGTCAATTTGAGCCATCATTGTCATTATCATCATCATCATCATCAAGTCAACATGTCGATCATGGATGCTTTAGGTCTTGGAGAATTGACACGAATGAGTAAACGACAGGTAAATAATATTATCCACTTTCAAATTGCCGGATTTATGATTTATATGAATATTCTACAAAGGTCCTGTATCAATTTTTAAATTTCGGTATGATTATATCATCAGCAATGATGATTTGGAAAGGATTAATGGTTGCAACCGGTAGTGAATCACCAATTGTTGTCGTTCTTAGGTTTGTTTTGTTTTTTGTAAAATCAATTTTATTCAATCAACTAAAAATCTTTTTTTTTGTTTTGTTTCGAAATTCAGTGGTTCAATGGAACCTGCATTCCATCGTGGTGATCTATTATTTTTGACCAATTATAAAGAAGATCCGATTCGTGTTGGCGATATTGTTGTGTTCAAAATTAAAGGCCGCGATATACCAATTGTGCACAGAGTTTTAACCCTCCATGAAAAGTATTTTAATATCTTTAAAAACGAAAAACTAAAATAACCTAATCATTTTTTTCATCATAGGGAAGATGGATCGGTAAAAATATTGACCAAAGGTGATAACAATTCGGTTGATGATCGTGGTCTTTATGCACCTGGACAATTATGGCTAGAGAAAAAAGATATTGTTGGACGTACTAGAGGTTTTGTTCCGTATGTCGGTATCATAACCATTCTGATGAATGATTATCCTAAATTGAAATATGCTGTACTCGGTATACTTGCGTTATTTGTTTTGGTTCATAGGGAATGAAAAATTGAAAATGAATTTATCTTTTTTTTGATCTTTGTATTATGGTTGCCGAAGGCTTTTTTTTTTTTTTTAATTTCCAAAAACAAAATATTATCAATCAATCAATCAAAAAAGAAACCAAATATTTAATTGTGAAAAATAATTGTTTTACATTCGATTAAACCCTAAAACCAGCTTTCATTTTCATAAATTTTGCATTTATCAATCGTTTACGTTTCAGTANATAACCATACTGATGAATGATTATCCTAAATTGAAATATGCTGTACTTGGTATACTTGCGCTATTTGTTTTGGTTCATAGGGAATGAATTAAATTGAAAATGAATTTTTCTTTTTTTTGATCTTTGTATTATGGTTGCCGAAGGCTTTTTTTTTTTTTTTTAATTTCCAAAAACAAAATATTATCAATCAATCAATCAATAAAGTAACCAAATATTTAATTGTGAAAAATAATTGTTTTACATTCGATTAAACCCTAAAACCAGCTTTCATTTTCATAAATTTTGCATTTATCAATCGTTTACGTTTCAGTAATGTTGAAAGACATGCAGTTTTTGGTCGTATCATTCGAATCATTTCGATGGGCATCGAATCCGTTGTTGACGATTGTGATAATTTATGTTTGGATTTTGATTTGATTGATTGGGTTTGGACATTATCCACATCAGTTTTATCGTTATTATCGATGGCCAATTCTAAATCAGTTGGCCGATTTATAATAACAGTTTCGAATTCAATACCATTTTCTGCTAATAAATTGTTCATCTTTCCAATACGACGTAATTGTCGTTGAACCATTCGTAGTTCTTGTCGTGTGGTTTTCGGTTGATTATGTGTTAATCGATGTTTTTCTACACTGCTAACAAATGGTCGATTCCAATTTTTGAAAATATTCGCATTAACTTTTTCCAATGGTAACATTCGACATTTAACAATTCGATCAAACATTAAATAATTGTCCATAGTTTGTGCAGCAATTTCGGCAACATCTTCAAATCTAAATTCAATAAAACCATAATTTTTTGGTTTACCTGTCTGTGAAACAAAAGAAAATGGGATTATATTAGAGTTGTCAAGTAAAAAATAAAAATAAAAATACCTTTCGGCTTCGCATAATTTTCAATCGTGTTACTTCACCAAATTGTGAAAAATATTCATACATTTGTTGTTCATAAAAACCATGTGGAAAATTTTTAATCATCAAAACACCACGTCGTTCTTCGGTTCCATTCGAAGTAGCTGGATTATTTTTTGTTCGTTTATTCGAGAATCCATTGGAACGAATCTTCTTTTGGACAGTTGTTTTCGTCGGTAACGAGGAATCAACTTGTTTCTTTTGTAAATCATTTTCTTTTAAAAATGATTGCAATTTTGCTAATGATTTATTCAAGTTGAACATTTTTTTGTTTGATTATTTTGGCAAGAGAAAAAAAAATGAAATAGAATTGGTTATGAGAAAAAAAACACGCATGGATATTCGAACAACTATTTCCACATAATCGAATGCAAACAAGTGGCATTAGTCTAATTTTTTTGACAATCAACTTTTTTTTTTGAAATGGATCGAATGGATATTGTCGATCATGTTCGTCGAGAAAAATCACGAATTCTTGATGAATTAAATTGTGATCAAGATGATAAACTAACAAGAATCGATAATATTAGTAAAAAAATTGATGAAATTAAAAATCTAGTTCATCAATATACACCGACAATGATTGCCTATGATATACGTAGTTGTAATGATATTATTAAAGAATTGGAAACAACATTACAAAAATATCGTGTCCCGACAAAACCGTTTAAATTTTCATTTGATATTCGAAAAAAATCGGGTAATAATAATTCAACGAAAACCGTTGATGCGGTTGATTCGTCATCATCATCATCATCGAATCCGGCAATGATTATCGAATTGGATACTCCTGGTTTCAAAAATCGTTCGAATGAAAATTTAATTCTAGATAAACCCGAACAAACAGATGGAAAAGATATTGTTATCGAATCATTGGATAATTGTCAACTACGTATACAGGGTGTACCAAGTTCATTACGATTACGAAATCTACGAAATTGTCAAATCTATACCGGTCCAGTTCGAACATCAACATACGTAGAAAAATGTTCTGAATGTCAATTTGAAATCATTGCACAACAAATACGTATTCATGAAACGAAAAAATGTGATTTTTATTTGCATGTAACAAGTCGTATAATAATGGAAAATTCTTCTGATTTAAGATTCGGTCAATATAAATGGTTATATGATCAATTAGATAATGATTTTAAACGTTCAAATATAGATCCACTAATGAATAATTGGAAATGTATTGATGATTTTGATTGTGTACATCAGAATCAATCACCCAATTGGTCATTTATACCAATGGAGTGATGTAATGTCAAAAACAAACAAAAAAAAATTATAATTTTTTAAAAAGTGAAGTAAATGTGTTTGAAGAGAGAGATGAATGAGATTTTTGAAAAAAATTTACATCATGATTATGTGATTGTTGATTGATGTTTGATGGTTTTAATCATTCAATAAATTCGTTTGCTCTTGCTGCTGCTGTAGTTGTTGTTGTTGTTATTGCTTCAATTTTTGGTATCCAAAATGCCATTGTTGTACAAGCTGATGCTAACATCATATATTTTGGATTAAATTGTATACATTGTACTGGACCTGGATGTGTATCGATTTGATTATTACAAAAATGATTACCATTTGTTGCATTCCATGCATGTATTCGGCCATCAGTTGAACCACTGAATATAAATTGTGAATCCGGTGTAAATGATGCTTCCAATGGTAAACCTTTATTATTCACATGACCTTTTAATGTTTGTAATGGTCGACCCATAAATGCATCAATAAGATGTATAACATTACCATTAGTATAAATCATTATAATTTTTCCATCGGGTGAAAATTTCAACCCGGTCCAATCACATTCTTTATCCTGTGATAATTTAAACGTATTGAACGGGCCTTTATCGAATGAACGCAGATCATATAATTTGACAGTTTCACTATTCAAACCGACAGCAAAAATTAAACCTTCAGGATCAAAATTTGCTACTGGTCGGCCAACCAAATGCATCAGACCTTGACAATTTGGTGATCGTAAATCCCAAAGACGAATAGTTTTATCCAATGAACCAGATAAAAATGTATCATCAATTGGTGACATACATAATGTGACAACTTTTTTCGTATGGCCATGAAAATATCGTATATATTTATTATCATGTAATGAAAGATAACGGATAGTATCATCAACTTTATTCGATGAATGTATAGCTGTATTTGGTGCATGTGTATAATGAATTAAATCAACACCATATTTTTTACTATTCAATGTACGTTTATGTATTCCTTTTTCACAATCATAAATAACAATTGAATCATCATCGGATGAACTAATTAATGTATCACCTGATGGTGAAAAATCAATCGAATTAATACGATCAACATTTTCATGAAATAATTTTGCTACACCAAAATTTTGTATAACATTTTCTTCTAATTTCATATCTGATGGATAATTTGATGATGATGATGATGATATTTTTGATGATAATGTTGATGATGATGATAATGACAATAAACCAGAATCATTAGGAGCATTCACCATAATTTCGTTCTCTTTGTTTGGTTTGGTAGTCGTATATTATAATACAACCGATGGCAAAAAGTGTTGAGAATCCGATCAATAACAACAACAACAACAATGGCAACAGAAGGAGCTCGTTTATCATTATTTCTTTTTCTACCCAAACGAATCATTTGGGTGGAAAAAGGTAAAAATTAGACAGATTTTTTTAGCGCTAAAAATCGATAAAATTTTAATTTTCTTTTTTTGTTTGTTAAATAAATAATTATAAATTGGTTAGAATTATTGATTAATTAAAATCTAAATTATGAAGAGTAATTATTTTCGTTTGTTAACGGTGAAAAAATTTTCAGTGTAAACATGCCAAATAATTTGTAAATATATAAAATCAATATTGTAAGTCGATTCTAAATATATATTGGTGATAATCATAGGTCATTTTTTCTTTGAAAATTGGTGGTTCAGTTCAATTGTTATCATAATTTATTTATCCAAATGTTCGGAAAGTAATTTTGATGGTTCAATAAATTCAAATCGTCCATTATGTACCGATGATAAACGTTTGCCATTATTGTTTGAACCTATTCAGAAAGAAGAAAAAAATGAAAAGATAATCATCATATGCAACTTTTGAAAAATGAATAATATAATACTTCGACAATTAAGATTCAAATATTGGCAACAAGCATGCAATAAGAATCGTTGATATGAACATTGTAATGCTGTTTTGTAAATAGATTTTGGATGATGACGAAAATGTTGTATGACTTTTTGTTCGATGGAAGCCAAAATGCCCTGTAAAAAGACAAAATTCAAGAAATTTGTCAATTTATCATCATAAAAGTAAAGAAATCCATTAAAAAAACATACAAGTGGAACATGTTTTTTGAGCAACTGTTTTCGTATCGTAGGTGATATTCGTGAAAAACAAAGATTCGAATCTTCTACACAAACATTTTCAATATCATCATCAACATCGTTGTTGATAATCGTTGAATCTTTCCAATGATGTTTTTCCAGTTCAAATTCAATAACACGATCCAAAAGTATTGATTGTTCATCTTCAGTACAATTGATAAAATCGTTTAGATTAAACAACGGATTGGTGCATGAATCCATCAACAATGTGAATGATGATGGTGATGATTGTATAAAATCATTGATTGATATTTCATCATCCAAATCGGTTTCATTGATTAAATTGCCCAAATCGTTCAACAGATTGGCTAAAATGCAATCATGACAAAGTGATTGTCGTTAAAAATTTTTTTTTTGTTAAAAAATTGTACAATTCAATGTACCATTAGCATAACGTCTAAATTTTTTATGGCTTTTTCCTTTGGTACCAAGCGCCGAAAATGTTGGTTCTGGTTTGGTTGGTAATAATTTTCTATTCGATTTATTATTCGATGATGATTGACGATGTGAACGACCATTGTTTTGATGATTCGAACGAGAATCATTTTGTCCAGCAAATGATTCTTCACTATAGTTATCAACAACAAAATCATTATCATAATCAAAATCCAAATCAAAAACATACCCATCACTTGAGATGTAGATCCATTCATCACCACTATCACCACCGCCACCATTTTGATGGCCACGAATATTATTAAAATTATAACGTATAACCCCCATTATATTGGATTCGAAAAATGGATATTTAACCTTTGTTTTTATTCTTGATCAGCAGCAACTAAATTTAAAAACAAATAAAAGTTTGTTTATCGAAAAATTTGATTTTCTGACGCAATTCAAATCACTTTGATTTGATAAATAAATTGAAAAAAATTGAATCGCACTGATGAGTAACAAAGATGATGATGATGATGATATCTAATCAATGTTATTTAATCAAATGTTTACTTCAATGATCAACAGCAACAAAAAACTTGATTTTTTGCTTTGTTTTTGTTTTTTTTTTGGTTACTAAGGCTGAATGTGACATATAAGTTGATGATGGAAGGATGGATGTCCTCAATAATATGATGATGATGATAGGTCCCGCCCAAACGTACAATATACGTCGAATGTTTTTGTTTTTAACGAGAAAAGTTGTCAATCAACCTTTTTTTGTGAAAATTGTCATTCATAGATGGCGTTCGAGTTTGATGTTATCAATTTTTAATCGGGCGCCATTATCAATTTTTGTTTTGATTTTTGATTTGTTTTGTTTTGAAATGATCAAGGAAGACAGAAAATAAATAAATAAATAAATAATGTAATAGATATTACTGTCATAAAACAAAAATCTTTGAAATCTGATTTCATATGACTTTTAAAAACAAAAAAGCATCATTTGATTTTTGATTGTTTCAGAATTTAGACAAACAACGCAACGAAAACAACAATGAATTCAATTTCAACGTATCTTGTTTCAATTATTTTGTTATTCAATTTGGTGATTTATGAAACTATTGAATCATCATATACACCAGTGGTTATGTATCATGGAATGGGCGATACAGCATATGGTAGTATTTCATCGGTAAAAACATTTTTGGAAAATAAACTTACAGGAATTTATGTTACATCAATTCAAATGGGTTCGAATGCTGAAGAAGATTTTTTCAGTAGCTATCTGATGAATCTAAATAAACAAGTTGAAACTGCTTGTTCAATAATTAAAGCTGATTCGAATCTGAAAAATGGTTATAATGCAATCGGTTTTTCACAAGGTGGACAAATACTACGTGCAATTGCACAACGTTGCCCAGAACCACCGATGAAAAATCTTATATCATTAGGTGGACAACATCAAGGTGTTTATGGTCTACCTAAATGTTTGGGAACGGTGAAAATTTGTAATTACGTACGTGAAATGCTTAATTTTGGTGCATATGTTAGTTATATTCAAGATAATTTGGTTCAAGCTGAATATTGGCATGATCCACTGCAAGAACAACTATATCGAAATCGTAGTATTTTCCTAGCTGATATTAATAATGAAAAACAACCCAGAAATGAAAGTTATAAAACAAATTTAATTAAATTAAAAAATCTTGTTCTTGTTCAATTTCTTAACGATACTATTGTACAACCAAAAGAAAGTTCATGGTTTCAATTTTATCAACCAGGACAAGCAAAAATTGTTTATAAACTTAAAGATTCACCACTGTATAAAGAAGATTGGATCGGCCTGAAACAACTTGATCAAACAAAACGATTAAAATTGTTAGGTACGATTGGTGATCATCTTCAATTTCATGTTCATGGAAAATGGTTTAATGATGAAATTGTTGAACCATATTTATCAACATAAATGATTATTATTTACATTTCCATTAAAAATCCCTTATTTCTAATATACAAGATTTACAAAATAAAAAATAACTAATTTTTCTAAATAAAAATCACAGCTGAAATTATAAATGAGGCGATCATTTTTCGGCATTATCATCAATGGTTTGACTTTTTTTCTTCGTCGTTGTTGATGTTTCATCCGACAGACTTGTCAATTCCAATTCTGCGCTATGTTGATTACGTTTTTTTACATATGATGCTAATGAATATGATGCAACCGAACCACCAATTGCCGAAACAATACCGGTGGATAATTTAAAACTAATCAATGCACCGATTGGACCGAAAATTGTTGCACCAACTGCTGCACATGCAATCGGAACAACACTTGATGATGCTGCCTGCAAAAAAAAATGATCAGAAATAGAAATTATTAGATTATCATCGAGGAAAGATTGTAAAATGATTCTTACAATGGCTAATGATCGTGTTCCTTCATGTACATTTTCAACAGTATTTTCAATATTCTGCTCAATTTGATCAATCGGTGTTTGTTGTTCCTGAAATAATATTTAAAAAAAAATCGATAATTATCTTCTGTTTTTTGACATTTTTCTCATGAACTTACATGAACAATTTGACCAAATTTTCCCATCATTTCATGTAAATCTTCTAAATCTTGATGTAATGCTTGTACATTACGTAACGTTTGTTTACTTTTGGCTACATTTTTTTCTTCTTTTTCAACCTGTTGGGTTTGTATTGGCTGCTGTTGGTGATGTTCGATATTTTTTGATTCATCCACGATTGAAAAACGTTTTTCTTCGATTAATTGGCCACTAATTTTCGAAAAGGCAGTAATCGCTTGAATAACTTCATTTTTAATCAAATTAACTTTACGATCATATTCGGGGTCGACAGTAAATTCATTCAATAATTTATAACATTTTTCCAATTCGTTTAGATTATTACGTAATTGTTTTATAATGTGATGAGAATTTAAATATTCTTTTGTTGAATGTTTATCGGAAATTTGATTCTGTTCATTCATTCGATGAATAAAAAATTAATCAAATCAATCAATCAATCAATCAATAAAGCTTAACGGTCCGTTGAGGTCCATAGCTTCTCCAACGATTTGTTTCCACCAAATCAATATCAAATACAAAATACATACCGAACGTAAAATTTTCGAACATTTTTCCAATCGAATCAGATTCGGTTGTATTCCATTCGAAATAATTTTATCAATACTATCTTTGTAGAGAAGAATTTTTCGTTTTTGTTGAATATTCATTTTGTTGTTGATTATTATAATTTTTCATTAAAAATTGTTTTGTAAACATAATTTAATTTAATTACAAAAAAATGCGTAGTCGAATCTTAATGATGATAACAGACGTTCTATAGTTCTATAGTTATCGCCGTAGACCATTTGGGTAGAAATCGGTGGCAATTTTTGATACCCGTCCACACTGAATCGAATATTGAGCATCGAGCCAACGTTTTTTTTTTCTCATCCAATGTTTAACACCGTAGTAAACTTGAGTTGTATAAATCGTATGAAAAATTGAAATTTTCTTTTTTGCGCGATTCTTCGGTTTATAAAATTAAATTTGCATTAAAAAATCGATATGGATACCATGATTAATACGGATGATGTTGATCAAATTGATCCGACAACTGCAGCTGCTGCAACAACAACAACAACATCGAATCGAAATGAAATTATCGATCCAAACGCTATTGCATTGAATACCGATGATCAAGAAATGGCAAATAATCAAGAAGTTAAATCAATCGAAATCAATTTGAATGTTATTAAAACATTTTTTCTAAATACAATTTCATTGTATGAATATTTGGTTAAAAATCTTTGTACAACATGTAATGTTGTTGAAAGTGAAGAATTTATTGCATTACATAAAAATCTATTGGATTTTGAAAATATATTCAAAATATTTGAAGTTTCATTCGATAAAACTTTGTTGACAACATTGGTTAAAAAGAATATTATACGTGATCAGATTTCGGTTTCGAACACTCATCATCAATCATCAATGGATCATGGAACTATCGTTGGAGATAATAATAATGATCATTCGATTGTTAATGATAATAATCATTATCATGAACAAAGTGCCGTTACTTCGAAATATCCATGCTATGTATCATCTTGTAGTCAATTTTATTCCACTGAAGAAGGTGCTAAAATACATTTTATCAAAAATCATTGCAACAAAGGTGATATATTTGATGAAGATGAACAAGCAAAATGTAAACAATCTGAACATGCTATTGCTAATTTGAATTATTTGAAAAAAAATGCTTCCGGACGTTATAATTGTCCAGTTGATGATTGTAATTATTCAACATCGGATCGTAGTAATTTTAAAGTACATCTGCAGCGTCATACGAATTCAAGGACATTTTCTTGTATTTGTTCGAAAAAATTTTTTACTCGTGATCCATTTATGATACATTTCGTCCGGCTACATATGAAAGAAGTTGATTGGAATTTGGCACAAAATGATATTCGAACATTACGTAAAACTATTCGTCGTCTGATTAATCGTAAATATTTACAATTCACTTCGAATGATGATGTTTCCGATTCAGATTCCGATCTAAATGGTCCAATGGATGCTGAAAAAAATGAACTAAACAATTATATAACACAGGCTATTCAAGATTCAAACCAACAACAACAACCGATTACCATATCATCAGAAAATTCAATGTCTATCGATAATAATAATGATGATGATGGTAATAATGTTGTTGATGATGATGATGATGAAATTACAATCGAAACAATACGTTTGGATTCAAAAAATTCATCAACAGATCCATTGAATTCATTCAATGTATCATTAAATTTAAAAGAAAATTTTTTTACCGATTCGGTTACATTCAAATCAGAAGGTGTTGAACAAGATGTTTTGGCAAAATTACCTGCAAATGAAAAATTGGTACAAAATATGTCATTATCATCAACAAAAGATAAAATTATTCAGAAAGAAATACCACAACGACAACGTAAATATAAATGTCCACATAAATATTGTGGACAAGAATTTTTTACATCAAAAAATTTATTAGTTCATTTGAAAGCATCACATGATCCAAATAATCCTGTACCATGTACTGAACCGGGTTGTTTGGCTCGTTTTAAATCAACTGCATTATTGGCTCAACATCAAAAACGTCATCAGGTACAATATTCTTGTACAATTTGTTCATATCGTACACATTTGGCCGCATTGATGACCCGACATAATCGACAACATGCTGGTGAACATTTACATCATGAATGTACAATTTGTCATGAAAAATTTGAATATCTTGGTGCATTACGATCACATTTATCAAAAGTACATAATGAAAAAGAACCATTAAAATGTGAATTTCGTGATTGTCAGAAAAAATTCAAAACAATCATCGGTTTGAAAAAACATTGCCGTGAATTTCATTATAATATGAAAGCGGAAATTTGTTGTGAATGGCCCGATTGTACGGCTATATTTTCAAATAAATCATCAATGGCAAATCATATGCGTATACATACTAATGAACGACCATATCAATGTACATGGCAAGATTGTGGTAAATGGTTTCGTTTAAAAGAAACATTAAAACGTCATATTAAATTGCATCAAGGTTATAAACCACATATTTGTCCATTCGATAATTGTGATTGGTCATTTGTAACGAAAAAAAGTTTAAAAACACATATGGAAAAAGGACATCATAGAAATTCACAAACGGCAGCCGCATCAAATAGACATCAACAACAGCAGCAACAACAAGAACAACAATCTACATCCGCATCCGTATCTGCATCTGCGTCTACATCTGCATCCGCATCCGTATCCGTATCGAAACAAGAATTAGATGATTCTGACGAAGTTCGACCAAAAATTGAAATCGACGATGATGATGATGATTTAGTTATTGCACAACAACAACAAATGGAACAAGATGATGTCGATGAAGATCATTCGAATACTGGTGAAGAAATGGAAACAACAACAGCATCCAATATTTGAATGATTTGATTGAAAATTAAATAAATTTTAATTTTTGCATGCAAATTATACCTCTCTTTCTTTCTCTTTGGTTTGTTCAATCAATTTTTAATTTTAAAACGATCAAAACAAAATTCATAAAAAAAAGAAAAGAATAAAATTAATGATTCAATGAGCTTCACCCGAATTAGCCATTGTATATGATCGTTTATATGCTTCTTCAATACCAGCACATATACCTGATGCAACTTCACCTTTATCCAAAACCATTTGTCCAAAAATAGCACCACCCGATGGACTTGATGCATCTTCTTTTAATTTGGATGCATTATCACCTGTATGCAATATTGTTTGCGATGTTGATGATGCAATTTTCGATGCTAATTTTATGGCTGATGCACGTGGAAAACCAAGTTTAACAGCACCATCAGCAATTGCATTGATAAAATAATAGCACTATCAACAAAAAAAAATAAGTGTGTCAAAGGGTTATGTTGTTTTTGCAAAAAAACTTACAAATGCTAAACCAGCACCAGTAATTGTACAAACACTATCCATATGAGTTTCAGGTAGATATTCAATACGACAAATTCTACTTAAAATATCACGAACTAATTCGGGAAAATTTTTACTATCCGGTTCGGCATTAACCCAACAATTACCAACACCATAAGCGATTGAATGACTGAGAACACAACGAAAAAATTTCACCGCATAACGATCCGGATTTTCAGGGTTCAATAAACATTCTTTAATTTGATCACATTTATAACCGAATACCAAACTAAATACATATACTGGATGTCGCATATTTGGTATATAATTAGTGGTTAATGCTGCCGGTCTTGTACCACCAATTTTATATAGATTTTTAATTACAGATGGTGGTACACAGATAAAAACAATATCACAATCAAAACGACCAAATATATCGATATTACGTTTCGAAACACGAATACCGGGAAATGTAATTTTCAATTGATCAGTATTAACTGTTGTTGGTGCTGTAACATAAATACGTTTTGGTTCGACTGGTCTTTCATTTGGATTATCTCTTGGATGAACAATCAAACCGGTAATAATAGCCGATGCTAAACGACCAGCACCAACAAATCCAATACGGCAAGTTGTTTTATCCGCTCGTGTACGTCTTGATCTTCGTGTTCTTGATGTATTTGCTGAAACGGATGTTTTTACTGATTCATTTGGTGCGCTCATTTTCGATTTCTTTTTGATTTCACTTGAAAAAAATAATAAAACAAATAATAAAATAATAAATAAAAAAACGAAAAAAATTTCCAAACTAAAATCAAATCAATGAATCGAATAAATGAATTTGCAATTCGTTTTTTATCGATAATCAATCATCATTGTTGTTGTTGTTTGTAGATTTTTTAATTAAATTTTTAAATTAAAATTTACAAAATTAAATTAAATTTCGATTAAAGAATTGGTTTTTTAATTAGGAATTTTCGTTGTTGTTGTTTTAATTAAGATTTTTGTTTGTTTTTTGTTTGTAATTTTTTCCGAAAAGTTTTTCTGTTAAAATAATCCATCAATGATACCGGTTTCCGTATCGATATCAATATCATAGAATGCTGGTCTTGTTGGTAGTCCAGGCATTGTTTGAATCTGGAAAAAAATATATAATTCAAAGGAGAAAGTTTATTAGTGAACTTGTTGAATAAATAAATATACCTCTCCGGCAAGTGGATAAAGAAAACCGGCACCAACCGATGCACGAATATCTTTTATAGGGAATTTATAACCACTTGGTGCACCTTTCTTGGATGGATCATGTGATATTGATAATGGTGTTTTTGCTATACAAATTTTCAATCGATCATAACCAAGTCGTTTATAAAGCTGTAAACGTTTTCGTGCTTGTTCACTATATTCAACCTGTTCGGCACGATAAATTTTTTTAGCAATTTTTTCAATTTTCATTTCAATTGAATCCGAATCATCATAAACAAAACGAAAATGATTTTCAGCATTTTCACATGCATCGATTATTGATCGAGATAATTCTATTGCACCTTCACCACCTAATTCCCAATGATTAGCAATACACGAATCATATGCACCAAATTTTCTGGTTTCTTTCCGTACTAAATCCAATTCATTTTCAGTATCAGTTTGAAATTTATTTATGGCAACCACTACTGGTAAACCAAAATGTTCACGAATATTTTCAATATGAATTTTTAGATTTATTAATCCTTTTGCAACAAGGTCAAGATTTTCTTCACGATATTCTTTCGGTAGAATAGCACCAGGTGTAACTAATGGTCCACCACCATGACTTTTTAATGCTCTTATTGTACAAACCAATACAACCAGATCGGGTTTTAATCCCGAAGCACGGGATTTAATATCGACCAATTTTTCTAGACCAACATCAGCACCAAAACCACTTTCGGTTAGGACAAAACCATCCGGACCAACTAATTCCAGAGCAATTTTATCAGCAATTACCGATGAATTACCGTGGGCAATATTAGCAAATGGACCACAATGAACAAAAACTGGTGTTCCTTCCAATGTTTGTACTAATGTTGGTTTGATTGCATCTTTTAATAGAACCATAACAGCACCTGTAACACCTAAATCATCACATGTTATTGGTCGTGGTGGTTGATGTTTTGAAAATGCAACAACAATCCGACCAATTCGTTGTTTAATATCCAACATATTTTGACCTAATGCTAAAATAGCCATTAATTCACTTGCAACCGCTATGTCGAATTGAGTTTTTCTTGATAATCCTTTTTCCGTTGATGCTTGGCCAATTGTAATCGAACGTAGATAACGATCATTACAATCAACAACACGATTCCATGTAATAGTATCGATATCAATATTTAATCGAGAAAATTCTGTTTTTTGTTCATCAGTTAATTGATCTGGCTCGATTTCGGTTGGAATACCCAGTTTTTCTAAACGTCTCAATTGAATTTTGGAAAATTTTCTCGGTTTATTTGGATGTTTTGGCACCAAACGATCATAAAGTGCCGAATCTTTTTGTGTTGATTCATGAAAATAACGTGCATCAATTGCGGCTGCAATCAGATTATTAGCTGCTGATATTGCATGTATATCACCAGTAAGATGTAGATTAAATTCATCCATTGGTATTACCTGTGAATAACCACCACCAGCTGCACCACCTTTAATACCGAAAGTTGGTCCTTGACTTGGTTGCCTGATGCAGGCAATAGTATTACGATTCAAATGACCGGATAATGATTGTGCCAGACCAATAGTTGTTGTACTTTTACCTTCACCTAATGGTGTTGGTGTCATACCGGCAACAATAACATATTTTCCCATTTTTTTCTGATCAAATTCATCCGGTATTGGACGATTAATTTTTGCCTTATAATGTCCATATGGTTCATATTCATTTTCATTCAATCCAATTTCCGTACATAATTGTCTGATTGGTTTACATTTATGCGAACGAGTTATTTCAATATCACTATTATATTTGAAAGAGAAAAAGAAATTTCAAATATTCGAAACATTTAAACTCTGAATTTTTACATACGATGGTACAGGAATCAAACGATTCAATGGATTTTTTTCCAATTTCCACATTTTTTCAATGGATATTTTCAATTTAAACGCAGTTATCGATGATGATGATGATGATGAAAACCAATTAATTAATGTTGTTGTTGTTGTTGTTGTTTTGTTATATGTCTTTTTTAATCTTTGAAACGACAATAATAATAATAATGATGGTGACTGGAATGGATACATTCAATGATGGAGAGCGAAAAAAACCTTAATAAACCAAGAAAGTAGAAGTATTTGAAATTGAAAAAAGATTCATTTCATTTTTTCCCTGCTTAATGATGAAGAAAATCAATTTGAAAACAAAATTTGATAAAACTAGTTTTTTGCCTGATGCCTCAATGAATATGCGATCGCAATAATAATGTGCATCGCAGAAAAAATCATATATTGATTTGCGATAATAAGAAAGAAGAAGATCCAAAAATAAACTTGATAATCAAAATGTCACAAGTAAACATTCACGGACCATCATTATGATGATGGTTAGTGTTACAATCTGAACTGAAAAAAAATCTCGATCGATCGAATGATTTGATATTTAACAAACGAATGAGAAATATCTTTAAGAAAAAAATCAAGCTTATAAGCTTGATTTTGATATATGTTCCGTTTGTTTGTTTTGGTTTTTGATTTTTTTGATTTCGATTCAAGTACAAACGCGCGCGTTCATTTAGTTTTTTTTCATTTCATTTTATTTATTTTGGAATTTCCAATTTGGTATTTTTTGTCTTTATGATTTTTACATAATTTAGGTCGACTGGGTGAATTTTTTTCGCTCGAAAACATTCCTTTTGAATTTTATCAAAAAAAAAAGAAAGAAAAGATAAACTCAATAGTCTGCTACTGCTGGAATTCGTATTATTCGAATGTTAATTATCAAATTGCACCGCATCGCTTTTTTAAGCATGAAGGAATGACATCGAATGGACGACATTTTTGTTTAAAAAAAAAATTTGGGTTGCACCGAAACGGATATTATAAATACTGAATCAAAATCAAAATTCAAAGATGATAATGATTTTTACTACAAAAAAAAATAAAATCAAACAACAAACTCTCTCTCTCTCTCTCTCTCACTTGCAGATCATCAATGTTGCAATCACATTCAACACACTGATGGTTGATGATTTAAGTTTAAGAAAATTTTTTTATCAATAATCATTTTTTTCTGGTTAAGTGCATTCGATCAAATCATTATATATTTAGTTTTTGTTTGTGTGTGTGTGTTTGGCTATAGCTATTTTACTTATTTGTGTTGATCAAATTTTCTATAATGTTCGATGATGATGTTTATCGATGTTTTTCTTTAGGTTTTGATCAATATTTGCTTTCTTCTCATACAGGATATTTTATTGGACTAAAAAAAAATATTATTTCATTGTCACCCATAAACGCAAATTGATTCAAAATTCATTTCGATTACAAAATTCAATTTATTTAAATTTTAAAAAATTTAACAACAAGAAAAAACTAAAATTTTATCACCCAAAGTGATTATCATTTAATTTTTGATAATAATCATTTTTTGCTGTTGCTTTTTGTTTATTTAGATTTATTCATTTCATCAACACGTTTTGCCGATTCAACTGTATTGTTTATCAACATGGCTACCGTCATTGGACCAACTCCACCTGGAACTGTTGAAAAAATTAGATCAATATTCATGAATGTTTTTCCATTAAAAAAATATATTTACCTGGTGTTATATATGAAGCAACTTCTTTAACTTGATCAAAATCAACATCACCAACTAAACGTTGACCACTTTTTTTCGTTGAATCCGGTATCGATGATATTCCACAATCAATAACAACGGCACCTGTTTGTTTTTAAATAATGAAAAAAGGAAAAAAATGAAGATTGACAAAAAATTCAATCAAAACGAAACAGAATATTGTATGATTAGATCCTGTCGATTCAAAATCTTAATCAGTAACAAGGAAATAATTTGATAAGATTTTGAAACGACAAGATTGGACCGTACATTTTGATCAACTTTGATAAATCATCAAAAAATAAAAGGTAAGTGTTTACCTGGTTTAATCCAATCTTTTTTAACAAATAATGGTTTTCCAATGGCCACAACCAAAATATCGGCATTTCGACAAACTTCCGGTAAGTTTTTTGTTCTTGAATGACAAATAGTAACTGTTGCATTATTCCAGACTAATAATTGTGCCATTGGTGAGCCGACAATTTTTGAACGACCAAGCACAACAGCTTTTGCACCTTCGATTTGAACACCCGATTTTTTAATCAATTCCAAACAACCATATGGTGTACATGGTATAAATCCTTCTTTGCCACTAATTTTACCATGTAATAGATTACCAGCATTCACTACAGTTAAACCATCAACATCTTTTTCAGCCGATATTAGATTTGTAATATAATGTGCATCGATTGGTTCTTCTGAATCAAATGGTAATTGTACGATGATACCATGTACACTGGGATCGTTGTTTAATCTTTCAACTTCGGCTGCTAACTGATTAAATTTTAATTAAATAAACAAAGCTTATAATAAAAATCCATCATTAAACTAACCTGATTGGTTTTAGTAGCACGTGGCATTTGTAAATGAATAGAATTACCACCAATAGATTCGGCAAAATTTTTCTTCATACGAATATAAACATTGGAATCTTCACGACCACCAACCTGAATAATGGCCAATGTTGGTTTAATTGATAAATGTGTTACCTGTTCACGAAGTTTGGCACGAATTTCATCTGAAACTTCTTTACCGCTTAATAATTTTGCCATTTTTTGTTGCCGGTTATCAATTTGTTGTTTTTCACCAATAGATTTTACAGAATTCAAATTTGTTGTTGTTGATTGACTAAATGTTCGTTTCGGTTGACGTACGACAAAAATGGAATGATCAAAATAAACAGGGATATTTCTTCGTATTTTTCGATCGCTTATGTGATGATGATGATGGTGAAGTTTGAGACTAGTCGCATCATCATCATTATAGTAGCTCGTGATAATTCGTTTACGGTGTTGTTGTTGTTCACCATGCAGATTATTATTCAAGGTCATTAATGATGACAATTTACGATTAAATTGTGATTGCAAAAATAACCATCGATGACAACAACCGCTACTTTGTTGTTGATGATAATGATAATAAATACTAAAAAAAATATGTGGAAAAAATTGAATTAATTTTCTTCAATTCAGTAAACTACCGGATTTTTGATTAAATCAAACAGAGATTTAAATAAGTTTTAAAAGTTTTTTTAAAAAAATTTTATGAAAAAGACCCAAGATTTTGGTTTTTCAATTTTAGCCCAATGTTTATTTTATTATTCATGATTTTGGGTGAAAAAATCAATCATGTCATTATGGTTTCATTTTTTTTGTTCGCACATTTGGAGAGCCAGAAAAAAACATAAACATCATAGTCTTATCGAATGATTTTATTTTGTTCATTTTTAATCAATCGATTGAATCGATAACATGCACTATTTAAGATTCACTTATTTTCTCGTTCGATCATATCATCGAATGATTTGTTATTTTTTTAAAATATCCACGGATGTTTAGATTCAAATTTGAATTTTACCAGATAAAAAATTTGTCGCAGAAAATAAAACTTTTCAGAAAAAATTGGACATATGTCAATCAAACTTACCATGATGATGATGATGATAATGAGCTTCGTAATACTTTAAATATTATCATTTTTTTCAATCCATATCAAGTTAAAATTGGCGGGAATTCAATTAAATTCAACTCATTTCAATATTTTTAAAATTCGAATTTAAAACTTTTATTTTGATGTTCGAAAAAAAAGAAAAAAAAATCATATGCCTTCATCGACCGTTCATAGAGTCTGTAATCACATTTTAGCAGCAAAATTTTTAAAAATTTTTGCAAATAATTAATTTAATCAATTTAAAAAAACCAGAATTATTGAAATATTAATAAAAAACAATTTTTTAAATCAAATAATGCGAATAATTTGTTTTTTGTCGAATTGTTCAATTAGAAAATTCTGAATTTATTGAATTAAAAAGTAACAGTTGTTTTGAATGGTTATAAATTGCGTGTGTGAAAAAAAATTTCATTCGAACGAAAAAAATATTCATCCTTTTCCGAGAATTGTTCACACTTTGTTTGTTGTGTTGTGAAATTTTGTTTGTTTTCGATTTCGAATTCGATTTTTTTCGTTTCTAATCGAAATTCTTGTCTCAATTCCATTCAATTTTACAAAATGAGTGATCGTGGTGGTTATCGTGGAGGACGAGGAGGTGGTGGTGGTGGCCGTGGTCGAGGTGGTGGCGGTGGTGATTATCGTGGTGGTGGCGGTGGTGATGGTCGTGGCCGTGGCGGATACGACAGTAAATATTTTTTCTTTTTTCTATTTTTTTTGAATTCTTTTGAATCAATTGATCTTTGTTTATCTGCGAATTAATAGATCGTGGTGGTGGCCGCGGAGGTGGTGGATATCGTGGCGGCGGCGGCGGTGGTGGATTTAATCGAGGTGGTGGACGTGGGGGTGGTGGATATTCGGGTGGTGATCGTGGCTATCAATCGAATGTTACATCATATCCTGAAACACAAAATTATCCTGTTGTTCGTAAAGGTGTTTGTCCACCAGGACAACAAGGCCAACAAGTTGAATTATTGGCTAATCATTTCAAGATTAATGTTGGCTCAGTATTGGTCTATCAACATGATTTGAATATTGATTTTGCTAACGAAAGTGACCGTACTTATTTCAATGCCGATAATGAAAAGAAGCAAAAATATTTTGCTAAAAATTCGTACGCAATTTTTCAAGAATTTGCTAAAGCTAATGAGAAATTTTTCAATTTCCATTATGTTTATGATCGAAGCAAGAATTTGTATACGTCCAAGCCATTGGACACTAACAATTTGCCCAAAACAATTGAAGTACAAATCGAAGGTCGTCGTAAACAATTTCAAATTTCATTGAACATGGTACAAAAAATCGATATGACTCATGTTGAACAATATTATAAAATGGCTACATCTGATTTGCCGGAAGTTATGCGACATTTTTTGGAATTGATGTTTCAATATTGTTACACTGATCGATTTTATTCACATCAACGAAGCTTTTTTGATACCGATCCTAGCCGATTGATGCGCGGTCCATTTGAATGGGTTCAATTTGCTCACGGTTTTAGCCATGGTGTTTGTTTGACCGAAATGGGCCTGTCATTGAATATTCATTTGAAAACATCATGTTTGATTTCGGTATCGGTGGATGAATTATCCAAATTGGTTACATTGGTTTCGGGTGGTCGTGATCCATCACAATTTGGTCCTGGTGATATTGTTATGGTCAACAAAATTATTCGTGGATTGAAGATTTATACATCACATACTGGCCGAAAAACATGCTACACAATCAAAGAATTGACTATTCGTAAGCCAAGTGATATGAAATTCACTGTAAAAACTAAAGATCCAGGTGAAGGACGAAGTGTTTCAATTCAGGAATATTTTATGGATAAATACAAAATTCGTTTGCAAAATTATCCATTGGTTCGTACTGTTGGTAAAGAACAATACATACCGTTGGAACTTTGTCGAATGGTTGATAAACAATTTTTGAATAATTCAAAAATTCAAGCCGATGCTAACATACCGAATGAATTACTTCGTGTATCAACACACAAACCATTGATCTATTTTGATAAATTATCCAAAATTGCTAATCAAATTCCATCATTGAGTCCACAATTAATGTCGGAATTTAAAGCCGAATTTATGCCTAAACCTGTTCGTTTTATTGGACGAGTATTGGATACACCACGTCAATTGAATGGCAAACGTAATGATCCGTTTTATAATACCATACAGAAACCGAATTGGGCATTTTTTAGTTTCGATATTAATTTCAATCAAGGCGATGTTGAAAATATTGTTCATGATTTGAAATCAACAGCCAAACGATATAATTTGAATTTAGATTCTTGTGTCAAATGTATTACAACACCAGTTCAACCGGGAAATCTGGCACAAGTTGATACGATTTTTGCAAAAATTAAAACAACAATGCCTGGACTTAAATTGTTGTTTGTTGCATTGCCACAATGTAATGTTTTTTTTTGTTTAAATTCATTATCAATGTTGTGTAACCAAATGAATTTTTTCTTCCACTTTAGGTGCTGGCATGTATAACATGGTGAAATTTTGTGGTGATCAAAAATATGGTTTAGTTACACAATGTATGAATTCAATGAAAGCTAAACAACGTGGCCGTGGATATATTGATAATATTCTTTTGAAAGTTAATGGTAAACTTGGTGGAATTAATAGTGTTATCGATGCATCACAATGGAAACAATTACCATTTGATCATACAAAAACTATGGTACTTGGTGTTGATGTTAATCATCCTGGTCAAACTGAACGAATTGAAAGTTCAATAGCAGCTGTTGTTGGTAGTTATGATCAATTGTTTACAATGTATACGGCTTCAATTTGTGCACAAACCAAACGTTGTGATGAAGAGATAACATGTTTGGAACCAATGGTAACCGAATTATTGGATGCCTATCATAAACAAAATCGATTCTATCCACAAACATTGGCAGTTTTTCGTGATGGTGTATCGGATGGTCAATTTCAATATGCGGAAAAAGAAATCCAACAGATTCGTGCGGCTTATCGTAAAAAAGAGCCAAAAGGCAAGATAATTTTTATTGTTGTACAAAAAGGACATCGTACTCGTTTTGTATTATCAAAACCAACTGGACCTAGTGATCGTCCTGCTTATAATGTACCATCCGGAACTGTTGTTGATCATACAATTGTTGATCCTTCACAGCACACGTTTTTCTTGAATTCACATTTCTCTCCATTGGTAAGTTCAAGTTTTTCCGTTGGTTATTCGTTATTTCGTAACTTTTTCTCTGATTCTTAGGGAACATCACGTCCAATGAAATATGTTGTTTTGGAAAATGATTATGATAAGAAAGTATTCAACAATGATGCTTTGCAAAAATTTGTTTTCTATCTTTGCCATAATTGTACTCGATTCCGTGGTGGAGCAATTGCATTGCCAACACCGGTTCGTTATGCTGATCTTTGTGCTTATCGTGCTAAAGTTCATGTCGAAGCTCAAATTGAAAAATTGTGTATGCCACATGGTCAAACAATGCAAGCTGATTATGAAAAGAAATTGATTGGACGATTGAACGAATTGGTCAAAATTCATGAAACAATTAAACGTGTTCTTTATTATGCTTGAAGCAATTGAAGACTCGATTCTTACATTTTTTAAAAAACATTTTTTTTTGAAAAAGTTTTTTTTTGCAACATTTATCCTGATCAGAATTTTGAAACATTTTGAAATTTATTCACAATACATTTATAAACTCTTTTTTATACTTTATATTTTCATGAAAAGAAAAGAAAATTTGATATTTGATTTTGATATAATTACAAACAAACATTACAGACATTTGAATGGTGAATTTGGATTTACAAAAAAAGAAAAGAAACTGACACACATTCCATTAACCAAACTAACAAACAAAGATACAGAATTATATTTTGTTTGATTCTTTTTCATAACCAATTCGATCTCAATTAAAATGGATAAATTACAAAAATTTTGTTTGTTTTTGACGATGGAGAAAATATTGTCGATAAAATATGGGAATCCATATTTGAGTGATGATTCAGGATAATGGCCGAAATAATGTCCAATGACGATTAAACCAACGACATAATCGTTGAAATACTTTTGAATTTTCTTTATTTGAATCATCATTGTAATTATTATTGTTATTATTAATATCATCATCAAATGGTATTTGATGATGACCATCAGGTTGTAATAATTGATAATGAATACCGAATGCAATTAATGATTCAAGATCTTGTTTGATAAGAAATTCAAAACGTATTTGTTCATGTTGTTGCGGTTGATTTACTGAATAATCCTTTAGCAATGATGAAAAAGAAATATTTTCATTACGATGTGAACAAAATAGATATTGTGAACAATTATCCAATGATTGTTGTTTATCGTCGTTATCACGTGTAACGTTTTGATGATTTAGTTTAAAAATCACTGATTTTGGTTTCAATATTTGTATGCTTTGAATTTGATCCCATTTAATTAGACGACAACGATCCGAACGTGTACGATGACAATGTCCACGTAATGTATTACGACGTTGTAGATACAGATGATGTGAATGAATTGTCTTTGAAAATCGATTACCATCATTATTATTATTATTCGAACGAATTATTGGTCGATCTAATGATCCAGCCAATGAACTTAGATTTACGGATGGTTTATGTGAAATGATCAAACCTTGTTTAGCTATCCGAATGTATAGTAATTCTTTATTCGATACCGATCCATGGCCAAGAATTTCAAACACTGGATGATATTCACCACCAATACGTAATATATTTTGTTGATGTTTACAGCTATTTCCTTCACATTCATTCAATGTATATGATCGTGAACGATGAATTCGAAATGGAAATGTTATTCGTGGCATCATCATGATTAAGCAGAGATTTTTTTGACTCAAAAAAATACTCAAAATAAAATGGAAAAAAAGTATGATCAATGACTTTTTCTCACAGTGAAAAAACAAAACGTGCAAAATCCAGAGAAAACAATGATGAAAGATCGTTTGATTTGATAATTTTTTTTTTGAAAAATTTTCACACACACACTATTCTAACCTAAATCGATCAACCGAGTACATATAGTTTGTTTTTTTTTTGGCGGAATATATTTCTGGTTGAAATATTTGTCAATAGATGGCAGATACATTCAATGAAAAAAAAATTGCGCCAATTTTTCCAGAATGAAAAACAAACAAAAAACAAACAAAATCCATTGTCTTTTGTCGAATCCCGTTTATGAATTGAACACCCACCCACCAATCTAATCAAATCATTTGTCATCAAGTGTTGCACACCATAATTACCGTGTTTGATTATAATAATTTTGCATAATCGCCAAAAAAAGTTTTGCAAAAATTCTGTTCAAACCCAACAAAGTCATCCATCAATTTGTTGAAACCGAAAAAACGAAAACAAAATAAGACCCATAACGTATCAAGAAAACTTTCTTTCTTTTCAACAACAATGAAACAAAATTTGAATATCTTTTCGTAAAATTTAATGGAAAAAAAAGGTGAAAATTTTTCCGTCGTCCTGCTCTCTTCAAACTTATCCATGAAATCTTCTTTTTGTTGTTGTTGTTGAACGGATGTCTAATATTGTTGTTATGGTGTCATTATAAATGTATCGTTGATGATGAGGGTCACATAAGAACTTATTGAACCAAATAAATAAAAAAAATCTCCCCATTCATCTCTGGCCTTCTGTCTGTCTCGCTTGCTTTTTTTTTTGTTGTCAAAATTCATCAATTAGTTTGGCTTGGTGAATGGACTTTTCTATTGATTTTTCTCCTATTTTCGACTGTTTCGGTAGGTCATTCATTTCATTTTTTATGTATGTGTGTGTCACATTAACATTGAACATCTGTCACTTTTTTTTTCTTTTCTTTGTTGTTATTCATTCAAAAATCCTTGTCCGTTTTTATTACTTTTTGTTCTCGTCATCATCATCTGTGTATAGCATATATGTGTGTTCCTAGCTTGCGCTAGGTACACTTATTTTTTTCCTCTCTTCAGGAAATTACATTTTCAGCTCCCTTATAATCAAAAATGAACTGAAGATTTTTGTTTTTCGATATTTGGAACAGCGTCGAAAAGCGTCGAATCCAGCCATAATGAAATGAAAGATCCATAAGTGAACATGACACAATGCTGCCACTACCAAACCAGGATGATGAATCAAAATGAAATACTGCTAACGGAAATAGAGAGAGAAAAAAAAATTTCGGAAAATTTTTCGGCTTGGATCATAGGACGACGACTCGAACCCGAAAAAACAAAAAAAAAATTCATATATCCAAGTAATGGTTATAGCATCCGTTTTTTTCATTCTTTCTTTCTGATTCATTCATTCATCTCACATCCACTAACAAGCAAATGAAAAAAACACAGAATTCATAAGAATATCTGCAGTGTGTATATGGATGATTATTATATTGAACAAGCAGAGTATTTTGCTGCTGCTGCCAGTTCTACTTACGAATCAACATCACCAGTACATCTCAATTTTAAACATCATCATCATTTCGATCATTCAGAATCCATAGTAGCATCAACCAGAAAAAAAACATAAGAAAAAAAGAAACCAGAATTTTCCAATATTCTTTTCTCTTTCTGGTGTGTGTTTTATTTAATGAATCTTAATCATTTTTTGGAATTCAAAAAACGTATCATTCGAGAAAATGTTTATGCGCATTTCATTCATCCATCGCCAGAATTTCTCAATTCAAAACAACCATTGACGAATTTTCGATCAATTTTTTTCATTTAAAAAAAGTAAAAATATTCAACCTTAAGGGGCTTCTTCAATGAATGAATGATTCTATGATTGATCCATGTGCGTTGCTGCTGTTTTGTTTTGTTATTGTTGTTTTTTGTCGCAAATAATCATCAACAACAACGTTACAAGCCGGCATTATGATTCTGCGTACAATATCAATGTGATATTAGAATCGTAAAATTCTACAGAATTTTTTATTTCTTTTCTTGTTTATTTGTTTTGTTTTATTTCGATTCCAATTCTATATATATAAATGTTATCATCATCATCATCATTTTTATGATTGAATTCTGTTCGTTTGGTTTTTCAACATTCAAATGATAAAACAAACGTGTGTGTGTGTGTGCTTAACATCCATTTTATTCTGACGAAAATGTTGACGTTGACATTCGAATGATAATGAACCCAAAAATTGAACTGAGAAAAATTTCAAATAATAATAATAATAAAAACCTGACGGACAAACCTGTAAATGATTTCGTAGAATCATAGAATGGAATGGTCGATTTTTTCGATTTGTGAAATAAGTAAAAATAACCGCAACATTATGAATAAATATATTGAAAGAAACTGTTGTTGTTACCGTTGTTGTTGTTCATTTTGTAACCTTTAAATAACGAAAGAAAAAAATCAAACAAAATGATGATGCCATTCACCCGTTGGTTATCCCATTGAATATACCAAAATCGCCGCATGTGTTTATGCTCCAAGCGTGTTTCACAAATTCAAAATTCACCAAATCTGAATTCGTCAGTCGTTTTGCTTTTTTAAATTAGTGGTTCCGGTTTTTGTTCGGTTGCCTTTTTTCTTATTATCAATCATTTAATTGACCAATTTCCTCTCTTATTATCATCATTTTATGCAAATTACACTTGATTTTTTTGTCGTCGTCGTTTTGCTTCGTTGAATTTGTCAAAATTTTTGATGTTTTTTTTTGTTAAATAAGGGTGTTATTCAATAAGGTTGTTATTTAATTCGTGAAATTCCGACATGAGCCAGGCCGATACAACGGCCGATATTAATCGTCCATCACCATCGACATCGACAAATGATAATCAGAATCGGCCATCAGCAATCGCACCACCTCCGCCACCACCAAGAAATTTTCTCTCACATTGGAATCAACGATCATTTTGCCAACAACAACAACAACAACAAAAATTAAAACAATATTCATCATCATTGGATGAAACAACATTAACCCTTGATGATTATTTAGGGAAAAATTCCAGAAATTTTCATCAACATAATCTTGTTATTCGACGGCCACCAACAGCAACCAAGATTATCAACCATGATACGATAGCAAAAACAGACAAAATAGTTGATGATAATTTTGAAATATTTTATTCATCATCATCAAGTGATGATAATGTTGATGGTAAAAATCATTCATTTAATCATTCAGTTGATCATCGAAAACGACAACAACAAAGAAAACATCATAGTCTTTTAGATAATTTAAATGGTAATTCTGCTTCTGCTTCTTCCGGTCATAAACAACGTAATCATCATCATCGATTTAATAATCGATACAATCGATATCGATCAAATTGTCGTAAATTTTTCTATCAAATAAATCCACCGGAACTTTCTTCCACCAAAAGTGAAAATAAAAAAACTTTGAATCAAACGAATGATAATGATGATGAATTATTACCTCGTGAACCATTAACTGCATCATCATCATCATCATCGGATTCTGATTCTGATTCATCAACATCATCACCATCAGAAGCATCATTTGATCTGGATCAGGTTGAACCAACTTTTCAACAACAACAACCAAAACAACCAATTCAATCAACTAAACAACAATCGATTACAAAACGACCAAATAGACTTTCAATTTCGTTAAAATCAGCAAATTCTTCTTCTTTATCAAAGTCATCTAATCAACGTCATCAACAACAACAACAACAACTGAATCAGCAA